CCCCTTTGGCATGAGGAGAGAAAGTACATGTTAGTATGCATGCAGTCCTTAATTACATGGCTCACCTCTGGCTTCTGGCTTAACATAAAAACAGGTGTCCTCTTGATATCGTTGACTAGCTTAAATTTGGGGTGTGCCTTGTGTTTATATTATACATTTTTTGAAAAAAGACATTTTTGTGCTTGACTTCCATCTACCCACCCCCCATAAATTTGTGAACTAAGACCTGCTCTCTGAATCATCACACACTTTTACTAACTACATCCCTGCTCTAATTTCGTTTTAAACTCACCTTATTTCTGGATCCTGATCTTAAGTCAAAGTGCATGTGAACTCAGAGAGCAGGTCAAAGGCAGGTGAAAGTACTGCCTTTTAACTTTAATTAACAAATTCAAGCACTTAAGTTTGTTCAATCGTAATTTCCGTAAATTCCTTGTACAGAACCTTTGATCACAATAAATATTCAGTCTTTATTAAAAATCTTTATTCAGAATCTTTTTTTCAATGAGTGCACTGGTGTCCTTGGTGGTCATAGTCTCTTGTAGTGAGCATCCTCAGGAATGGCTGCAGGATCATTACTAAGTCCGCCTTTTCTCTTACAAGACGGTGAAAATAAAATCCATCTTTGTACTAAGATGGATGAAATAATTACTTGTCCACCTTTTCACATACAAGATGGATAAAAGAAATTCTCATTTCATTCATCATTTCTCTTACATGATGGTGATTAAAAGTCCTAATACTGGACCATCTTTTTGATTTCTTAATAGATGGTCGAAATCATTTCTCATTCAGTGTTCCATCTTCTCCTTACAAGATGGTTGGGTAACAGGCATAACACTGTTCCATTCAATGTCTCATCTGCTTGATTACGAGAGTGAGAAGAAAATCATTGTGGCTTGCAAGTTAAATCTAATACAGTTGTGTGCCTGAGGCCCTAAACTATTTCATATCTCTCTGTCTCTGGTGATCCATCAATGGTGATGATGTCATCCTCTGTTAGCTCGGGAGCAGTGTTGGTTGGGCTGAAAGAACTTATTTGTGATCCCAAAACCCAACTACTTTTATTCTATGTTATTTGAGATATTTGTCACAAGGCACTTTATTTCCAAAATGTTCCCTACATTATCTCAAGTTTAGTGAGCCAAGCCAAAGTAGAGCTTGGCTCAGATCCCCCCACCCTTTCTCATATCATCAGCAGGTAAGGATATCATACAAATCCTATTGTGTTCTAGCTGTCCACTCGATGCTTGCTTCCCTTCCAGTAGCCTGGAAACTGTAACATCAGTAGACAGGATGATCTGTAGTAGAGAGAGAGAGAGAGAGAGAGAGAGAGAGAGAGGAGGGACAAAACCAGTTGTCAAAAGTTGATTATCCTGGCAAAAACACCAAAAAAGTTTCACTTATCACAGTTTGACACTACAAAGACAAATCCTTGCGACAAAACTTTTATTCATTGAGCAAAACTGTCAAGCATATTAAGAAAGATTTCGACATTTAATGGTTTGCATTTTTCTTTCCGTTTCAGAAAGTTGGTGCATGGGATCAAATAGGTGAATCAGCATTTGTCCTGGACACCATGTGAAGAAAGAAGAAAGTACTTTATGAAAGCTGGAAAAACATGTACATGTATCACAATACTGTACCTAGTAGCAGGTGTCAGGAAAGCTATTCTACATCAACAGCTAGGCAGACAGGAATCAACAGCATCCCTCCTTTGGTATATGTATTCTGTCCAAAAAAGTAAAGCGTATCGATCAGCATCAAAAACATAACATGTTGTCACAGTAACAAGAACATTACTTTAAACAGTAAGAGGTTATCAGTATGTCTTAAAGTGAAGTGTTAAGGCTAAGGCTACAAATGTTTTATCATAGGAAATTTCATAATAAAATGAATAGTTTGAAAAATTGCTGCAAAGTGTGGGAAAAAGACAACAGCTTATAATGTTTTATCATAGGAAATTTCATAACATCTATAGTTTACAAAATTGCGGCAAAATGTGGGAAAAAGACAATAGCTTACTTAGTTCATAAAACTCTGCTGGTCATCTGAGAGGGATCTGCAGTTCCTTGCTGCTGAGCCAGGTGGCGCTGCTGAGCTGGAAGAGAGTAACAGGTACTAGTATTAGAATCTATCGATGTACCGAAAAATCTACGAAGACATGCAAAAATTAAGAAGAATGTGAAATAAAATTCACACAACATTGCTTTGTGTTTGCTTTTGTGAACTTAAGCTGGCCACGGGATCTGCGCTGAGCACTGGGTAGCGTACAGGCGGGACCAGGCACCTGCTTTCCCGCCAACCCAACTTTGCCGGCACGATGCACAAATTTTATCAATTTTTCACGGATGAAAAACGCTAAAAGTAACTCTACTATATGTCCGAGCATATTATCTGAAAAATCTGAGGAAAACGTGAAGACAAATAAACGATTTTCTCGATTTTTTGACGATCGAGATCTGCACCGGGTATTGCGTAACGTTACGCACGGGGCCATGCTATCCCGCCGACCCAACTACACCTGTCCGCTGGACGAATTTTATCAATTTTTCACGGATGAAAAAAGCTAAAAGTGGCACAAATAAAACGTGGGAACATTTTATATGAACGTTCTGAGGAAAACTTGAGGAAAAATAAACGATTTTCTCGATGTTTTGACGATCGAGATCTGCACCGGGTATTGCGTAACGTTACGCACGGGGCCATGCACCTGCTATCCCGCCGACCCAAATACGCGCCTGTCCGCTGGACAAATTTTATCAATTTTTCACGGATAAAAAAAGCTAAAAGTGGCACAAATAAACGTCGGAACATTTTATATGAAAGTTCTGAGGAAAACTTGTGGAAAAATAAACGATTTTCTCGATTTTTTGACGATCGAGATCTGCACGTGCACCGCCACCGGGTATTGCGTGGTGTTACGCACGGCGCCATGCACCTGCTATCCCGCCCGCCCAACTTTGCCGGGCCGCTGGACAAATTTTCTCATTTTTTCACGGGTGAAAAAAAGCTAAAAGTGACACTACTACACGTGGAAACATTTTATCTGAAAGTTTTGAGGTAAACTTGAGGAAAACTTCATATTTTTCTTAAAGTTTTGACCAACCATCTAAGTCATTGGGTGACGCCTGCCATACGGCACATACAATTGCATTGCTACGGACAAACCTTCACGAAAAAAACACGTTTTTTCTCATATTTTCACGGGTGAAAAAAGCTAAAAGTGATTCTACTACATGTAGAAACATTTTATCTGATAGTTTTGAGGTAAACTTGAAGAAAACTTGACATTTTTCTTAAAGATTTGACCAACCATCAAACTCATAGGGTGAGACCGGCCGCCATATATATACAATTGTATTGGGGCGGTCGGACCTCGACGAAGAGACACAATTTTCTCAAACGTTTACGGATAAAAAAAAGCTAGAAGTGACACTACTACATATCAGAACATATTGTTACAAAATTCTGAGGTAAACTTGAGGAAAATTACACAGCTTACGGAAGAAACCCTGACAGAAAAATGTCAACAATCTTGACATACGTAATGTCAGCCTATACCCTGTCGTGCATCACAAATCGTGAAAGTTTCAGAAGAAATTTCGTAAGAAATATCTTTAAATTAAAGGTGGACATACTGCAACCTGTTGTACAGAGTCTATACGAGGTATAAACTTGGATAACTTGGATAAAATGCTGTATATTTACCCGTAAAAATGAGTAAATGCTTACCTCAGTTCTGGCGGGACGTCCCATGCACAGACTTCTCCTCGGGTGTATTGCCGCCAAAAGCTTGTATGAAGAATTCTTACAGGAGAACTTGAACGTGATTGGCGCTCAAAGTTAGGGACGATCCATCTTTTTGTCCGGGGGCATGCAACTGGGAAATATTAGAATTCTCTTGTAATTGGGTATCAATTTTTAGATGTTGACATGTATTACTTATAGAGTTTATTAAAGAATGTATATTTCTGAAGGAACTTGTCTTAGGAAGTTTGTAAATCCAAACAGAAAAATTCAAGATTTCTAGATTCCCCTTGGTCGATGGTTCGTGCTCGATTCATCTACAAATTTATTAAAAATATCAATGCATTTGTTCATCTGTTTATGCTGAATATCATTATTTCATCAAAGTAAATTCATAATAACAAATAAGCGTGTATGTAGATATCTTTATAAGAATTCAAAAGTGTATTGACAGCATGGGGAGGTGCACTATTTTGTGGGGAGGGGGCAAAAATAAATACATTTCATTGTCGGTCAGTGAACGTTTTAGAAACAACGTTTAACAGAAATTGGAAATATTGTATTTATGTAAAGATAAGAGTTAAAACTTATGGAACACATCGCAGTCGATTTTGTTTCGAAAATGCTGTCAATGTTTTGCCCCTCTCCCCCACCCCTAATTTGCAATGGTTCGTCTCCCGCCACTCAACGGGACGCTCCATTTCTAGTCAGCAGGTGCATGGGTGGGGTGATCAGATTCATTCTGTAGGGGATATTTCATTAAGTCATGTGGGGAAAGGATGATCAGAAGTTTTGTAGATGTTAATAGTATTTTTCTGAAGTTTTACACCACGAAATAATCTTGCACGATGTAGCTAGGGACGGAAGGTTATAGTTCAAGTAAAGAAAGGACTAAGAATAAATCTGTATCACAGTTTTTCTTGTTCATTTTAGCGTGACTATCGCTCATATGGCAGCCTATCTGACTGATTGGCTCGCCTAGATCAAGGAGCTTCTACACATCAGAAGCTCCTTGCCTAGATTTAAAAAAAGCTAATCAAACCGCCAGCAATATGAGATTGTGTAACACAAGCATTCTCTAAGCAATGTTGACGATCTTTCAATATATTTTGTTTGAATGTCTTGATGGTCTTTGATTTTGTAACGATTTTTACTTTTGTTGATGGTATCAATATCAAACGTAAAATGGCCAGGAAAGTCAGATTGGGGAGCAGTTACGGGCTAATTCCGCTAGGTGTCGCTGCTCCGTGTTCATCTCCGCGGAGATTTGCGTCTAGCCTCTGTCGTCAGCAGCTTCGTCTGCACAGTGTCAGCACAGCATGGCGGAGCGAAACCAAAGTACGGGAGACCAAAATGCGGACGTTTTACCACAAGAAGAGACAGAAGAAGAGCAAAACAAGGTAGTTCTGACCCTGGAGATCCTACAGACGATAAAAGATGCCCAGCAGACGCACGGACTAAGGCATGGAGACTACCAACGTTACAGGTAAAAGTCTGCGAGGTGGGGAGGGGGGCGTTTTCCATATGGTCTCGGTAGAATTACTTTTCTAGCGTTTACAGACGGTTAGAATTTTATCTACCCTTCAGTCAATAAGATAAATAGTTTATGGGATTTCTGTAACATACGCACACTGCTTGAAATTATATTATAAGCTAATAATTTTAGATTTTCTAGTTCCAGCATTTATGCATACGTGGATAGCAGACTAGACACTATGATTTCTATGAGTCTAGAGGACGAAAAATGTGTCCAACTTTACTGCAAAAGGTTTCCGTATTACATCCCAGACTACCCTGATCAACTTGAATGCGAAACATTTTCAGATATGATCTTACCAATTCTGTATCAAGCATAATGAAGGTGACAGCTGTTTAAGTTAAGTTAAGTGTTAAAAATGTGTGGATTTGAGAAGATTTGCTCAGGGCCAAAGGTTATAGTGTATGGATCCTAAAATGATATGTAGCAGAATTGCACAGAAATATTTTACATGTGTCAGTTGCTTTAATTCCAGGTCTACTTTATTTCTATCTGGTTGTTGCATCTTCCACTAGATGTAGAAAACCTCATGATTAATATTATATGACATAATCATAACTGGAGTCGAGTACAGCATTTTAAGGGCAGCTGTATACATGGACTACTAGTGGTACGCCACTTGCCTATCATACATATGGACCTATATACGAGCAATTATTGTTTACATCAATTATTGGTTTAAACATATGCCAATCAGGGGTTTTTCTAGAAAAATTTAGCATGAGGGAGCAGATTGCAAGCATGGCGAAGTGACTGAGGGGGGATTTTTTTAATGAGAGTAACACAGTTTGTAATGGTAGAATGCATGTTGTATTGTTTTTACAACTTTACTGGAAAAAGATCATTTAAGAAAGACTAAATGGCATGTAAGTACCCACTAAGGTTCAATCTGAAAATTGATATAAGGGAGCTGGCTGGTTACATGAGGGAGCAGCTCCCTTATTTCCTTGTTTAGAAAAAACCCTGCCAATTACTTAGTATTGGTAGGCTTATGCAAATTATTAGTAGGTAAATCACCCAACTACTACTGCTTGCTGGCCATGATATCATGGCATTTGCTCTCATTTCCCAGTGATCTTACCTCACATATCTAATTACAGGGGTTACTGTGCACGGCGCCTACGGAGGCTTAGGAAGGGTCTTCACTTCACCTGCGGAAATCGACACAAGTTCCAGAGGAAGCCAATCACAGAAGAGCTTCTATCGGAGCAACGGTTCCTTCTCATACCACTGATGGAGGCAGAGAGGGCCTGGAGTTATGCTATGCAGGTTATATACTTAACGTTACTTATATACTAGTACTTACACAGATATACTTATCGGGCCTTCAAGTTATCCTCTTCATCCCTTAGGACACATAAGGCCATGACTTTTTAGCCTGGTTACCAAACTTATTTTAGCTACAAAGTCCTACATCCTCTCTATTTGCGGAGAGGATGTAGAGCTCGGGAGCTATATTATATTATAGATTTGATGATAAGGCCATGACTTTTTTCTTTCATGATCTGGGTCTTGGCCACCTTCTTTGCTGATTGTTAGGATAGTTTCGTGGATGCCAGGTCATCTGACAGAGTTGTTTTCCAAGTGGCATTGGATCTAAACCTTTTCTTTTCCCATCAGGTGTCTAAGGCTGTTTTAGGTTTTCTTGTGTCATCCATTCTTAATACATGACCAAGGTATTTCTAGCCAGAGAGGGAGAGAATAAATGAATGAATGTACATGTATTAATGAACTTTATTGCTGGAAAATTGTACAAATTCTACAATGAATGGCAACAACTGTTATTAATCAACAATGCTACAAAGTACGAGACTAATTTATCCTACAACTTATGACTATATTAAATGTTACTGACATCAGTTTAGGAATAACATTATCTTCATGTACAATGTTTGGTTGATTCACTGACTGTGCTTTTTTTCCAGTTGAAACAAGAAGCTAACACAGAGCACAGGAAACAGTTCCACATGGTCAGCCGTATGAAGAAAGCTGCAGGACATGCAGCCACTCTGGCCAAGCTCTGTGACTCTGACAAGGTGGGAATACTGCCATAGTGTTGTTTTGTCCTTTTCAATTTATGATCACACATCTTTTTGGAACTTGAAAACATGGTGGAAGATGTGGTTTTCTTTCTGTTTTTCTTATAATAAAAGTAAACAGTTTTGACAAAGTTCAGCTAAACTATATTTTTCATCATCACAGGATTTCATAAAATATCCGAACAAATTCTGAACATTTTGCTGTTCAGTCCAGTCCAGTTTCAGTTTATTACAATACCTCAAAAGAGGATGCCCTGAACTGAACGATACCCTTTAGCCCGTTAGGGCTAATCTTCCAGGGCTCATTACACATTACACACACAGTACAAATATACACATGACTACAAATTTGCATACACGTTGAGGTCACATGTCAGACAAGGTACTAATTATAGCTAAAATCATTGAACGAGCAAATTATCGGCTAAGTGTAAAAATAATATTACCATTACTAAAAGATTTCAATATAATAAGTCAAGATATCTAGCAAATGTATACCCTTATTTGTGTAATCTTTCTTGGTGATAGAGCTTAAGTTATTGACACTAGTTGATGACAGTACTCAGTAGTTATTGGCATTAGTTACTGGTAGTTTGGTTACTGGTGCTAGTTGTTGACACTGGTGAAGACATTGCATACATAAACTTCTGTATGTACCTATATTTCCACCAGGTTGATGCGAGAACCAAGTTAGAGGCGCAGGCGTACAGTGCCTGGATGCAGGGTTCACTGGAGTTCGAGGTCCAGCTATGGGAGATGGCGCTCAACCACTTCAACGAAGCCAAGACGATCTACGAGAAGCTGAGCAGCGCTCTCCCCGAGGACGCGCGGATGGTGTACGACCTGCGGGTGGAGGATATCAAGCCGAGTATACGGTACTGCGCGTACAACATCGGTGACCAATCCGCCATGGAGGACCTGCTACAGATGAGGGTCAAGTCTGGAGCACAGGTCAGTAAAGTTTCAACTTTTAGTCGTGATGCACAGAAGAAAAATTGCTTCCTTGTCAGAACTTTTAGTCAAGATTTACGGAAGAAATATTGTCAAAACTTGGTGTAAGACAAGCTAATCTCAAAGTTTACACATTCATGCTACCTACTACAGAATCTTAGCTATGTTGATGATATCTCTACATGTGATGAGTGTTCAGTAGTTTTGTCAGATCATTTTAAAATAGTGACCCTGAAGAAGAGTGATGAATGTCACGAATCTGGAAATAATCTACCTAATTTGTCCAGTAGTAGAACTTGAATTGTCTTTGAGTATGTTTATAGTCATGTCTGCATGGCATTGGAAGCTTACAAAATAGTATTGAATTACAAAAAGGCATGACGTCACCTATCCCATGATCCCCTGTTGCTGCAGGGCATGCTGGGAGATAAGCTGGACGAGCTGGTTGCCCAGACGAGGGAGAAGCAGGCGGCGACCATCAGCGAAGTCACCTGGCAGGGACGGACTGTCTCTGTCAAACAGGAACAGGTAAAACTGTACACTTAAAAGATATCAGTACGACATTATCAAGCTTATTAAGATGTGTGCAACAGTGCATTTTTTGGTGTCATGTATCTTCTAGACATATACTTAATTAATAAACACTTGAAATACTTGATAGACACCCAACAAATGATAGTTCTAATTGAAAATAAAAGATACAGTCTTGAGAAATGGCTACTGCCCACCCACCCACACAAATAATTGCCATAGAGCTCCAGCTAACACCAACAGTCTAGTTTGTACATGGTCTCACTCAAGTGTTAGTGTATGGCCTCTCACCAGCGTTTCTGTCTTGAGTTCCACAGACCTCTAGGCTGCAATTGATACCATAAGTCAGGTCTCACACTTGTGTTTATGTATGGTACTATCACACAGATGTTTATGTGTGGTATCACATCTGTGTTTATGGTGTGGTATCTATGTTTATGTCTATAGGTCCGACTGTGTTACCAGAAGAGTTCCACCGACCTCCAGGTCGCTCCTGGTCTCACACAGGTGTTTGTGTATGGTCTCTAACAGGTGTCTGTATGTCCTTAGGTGCGACTGTTCCTGCTGAGTTACCAGGAGAGTTCCACAGACCTCCAGGCTGCACCTGATACCAACAGTAAACTAGAGGTGTACGAGAAACTACTTATGGACTGCAAGGATGCCATGCAGGTTGGGCAAGAATTACTGTGTATCATAAGTCAGCCACTATTGGCACATTTACATGTAGTACAGTACAAATAGTTTGAATTGTGACCATGAATTGATATCAACAATTGTTCAATATATGATTGGAGTAAGATATAGAATATGGAGTCTATAAAATATGACTGATGCTGATGTCACAACTTCATATTTTGTTCCTGCACCTCCTTGTTGTATGTTCAGTATTTTCAGAACAAAGGTGGGAATTCTACCAACACAGACACTTGCGTGTTGGTTCTGGTAAGACCTGTAAGTCTTTTCAAGTAGGCACCAAGTGTACAAACAATCAGCAAGAGTCTTGACCACTACTTTTCCATGCCTGAGTGCATGTTGCTCGGTTGATGTGAACATATTTGTCCTCCATGTCTGTGCAGGTTCTGCGAGCAGAGCTGCGTGAGGACCCGTCAGCCCGTGCTGCGCAGGCGGAGGGAAAGACGACCCAGGTGGGCCACCTGCTGACCTACCTGACCTACATCCGTAACACCATCACCATCCAGCGTAACCTGCTCATGGCAGACACGGTCAAGGCTTCTCTCAGTCCTGGTAAGGAGCAGGATGATAGATTAGGAAATGAGTTGTATGTCAGCCACTGTCCATCTAGCAGAACTAGAAATTTAGAAAGTTTTTTGACCGGCCTTCTTCTCTGACAGAAGAGAAGCTAGCCAGTTATGATAACGATTTTCTACCCCAACATCAGCTTGGAGATTACATCAAAGTAAGTTCAAAAGCCTTGTTTAATTTCAATAAGTTTTCTGTTCAGTGAGTTTGGTATGTACATGTAGTGGGCATAACCTCTCATGGTAGACACCAATTGTTGCTCTCTACAAATTCAGAGAAATTTTGATGGTCGATAAGCGGAAGAAAATGAGATATTGAAAAAGAATATTGTAGTAAGTTGACTTTAGGATATATCTGAGCAGTTTATACCTTGTTATTTCAGGTGGAACTGTGGACGGCCGACGGGCGGCGAAACCTCAGGACCTGGTCCGCCTGTACGACATCATCCTGCAGAACGTGGAGGAGCTGCGACAACTCCCCGGCGTACAAGACGACACCACAACATCCCAGAACCTGGAGGCGCAGAGCGACGCGTGCAAAGCCTACCGCAGCTTCTACATCGCGAAGTCGTACGCCGTGAGCCAGAAGTGGAAGGAAGCCGTGGCGCTGTACGACCAGGCTCTGGTGCAGGGGAAAACCGCGCTGGGGTTGTACGCAAGCCTTCCCGACTCCGCTGACAGAATAGCGGAGCTGGAGGGACTGGTGGCAGAAGTCCACGCCAACAAGTCTTCTTCTCACGCCTCCTGTATCCTCGACTCGCCCACCTCGCCAGACGAACAGGACTTGACCCTCAACGACACCGGCGCCAACATGGTGACCTTCCCGCCAAACTTCCAACCAATCCCGTGCAAGCCGCTGTTCTTTGACCTGGCGCTGAATCACGTGGAGTTCCCGTCATTACAGGATCGCCTGGCCGAGCAGAAAAAGGGCGGGGGGATAGCGAACATGGTTAAAGGCTGGTTCTGGGGAGGGGGGAATAAATAGAGGTGGTATAGAAATAATGGGGGGGGGGTAAAAATAAGGGGGTTCATTTGTCAACGAAGGGTAGACACACAGGTAGTGAAACACTCAAGAAAACAGTTACTCAAGCAACTGGATAGGTTTTGAAAACTAACGGATAGTACATGTAGAGGACACTACTACTAACATCTGATAGTTTTCAAAATCTAGCCAGCTGCTTGAGTAGCTGTTTTCTTGAGTAAGAGGTGTCATTGTTATAGGCTACAGGATGATTTTGGGAGAAACAAATTCATTGCAACAATTTTGGAGAATCTAAAAGGACTGAGGACAGTGAATGATCTAAATCCTGACAACCAGATTAGAATACAGACCATGAAGGATGTTCAAGCGGTTTTGCCAGGGATAAACATACTCAGTAAGCAAAGACATACCAGGTCCTTTTTCATACAGGGTGGCTAGAACCTTACATGTTGTCCTAAAACAGATATAGGCAGTATTCATAGACATTGACTGTTGTATAGCAACAGAAGCATCCGTGAATAATTTCATCAATTTAGTGAATGATTGAATACCAGTAGCAATGTTCTTTATTCACAGCGACTTTTAATAAGAGTCGATGTTTTACTGACTGTCATCTTCATCAGGGCAATTGTGACAGATTCACTGTGCACTGAAGATAGCAGTAACACCCAGCTTCATTGCACAGTGAACCAGTTATAATTGCCCTGAGGAAGATGACAGATGGTCATCGAAACATTGGCTCTTACAATAAGTGGTTGTGAAGTAAGAATGTAACTACATGTATTTAGCAACAGATGCAGCCTTAGCACCCAACTCTCAGGGACCAGCACGGCCCAACAGACTTGTGCTAACATGCACAAAGTCTGATCTAAAAGGTTAGATAATTATAAAGTGATGAAAGTGTATGAGAAACATGAAGTGAAGTCAGTATTTCTGAAACTTCAGTTGATTATTTTGAAGAACTGTTTAATTCTCCTTATTTAACTTGCACTAGGTTAAAAAGATAATTTTGTAACAGTGTATTAAATGGCCTTCAAAACACTTGGAAGGGTAAGAAGTAACAGAAGTTTTGGGCTGACTGAGGCCCATATTTAGTTTACTACCGTCCAGGGGTAAAAAAAAAATGTTTATAGGAGACAATTCATCCCCTGCTTTCCCCCTCAAAAAAAACATGCAGAGATTCTTGCTTCTTGATATGAAAATGTACACAAATTGGGGGTTCAATTGCTTTTGTTTCTACTATGTATGTATGTAATAAGACAAATGATGTAATGCCAGCAAGAAATGAAGCATATTTAGTCTAATAAATGCCTTTGTAGAGTTATGAATTTAATTTGAAATGTTATAAAACATTTTCCATGCCAATAAAAAACATGTATTGCACTGGTGGTATTGTAATATCTCTTCTGCCTGCATATACATGTACATGTATACAATTTTAGTACATTGTAGTAGTAAGCATCCAAGCGAAGTTCAGACATCTGTATCTGTATAGGTATAGCCGCCTTTCGCTTTCGGTGTAACACACCAGCTTCGCAGGCACGCGGCGCAGCGGCAGCTGGCTATATAACACCGACTTGTCACACCTAACCCTTGAACTTCTAACTCTAGACATTGTTTAAAGCTATCTATTGACAATGCCCCTACTGTACTTGGTGACAGCGAGTTCCACTCTGTGATAGTTCTAGGAAAGAATGAATTCTTGAACACCTCAATCCTTGGTTGATAACTCTGGTACTTGAAAGCATGGCAATTTCTTGTTCTCTTCTGGACATGGGTGTATGAAAGAATGTTAGCAGTATGTGTAGTTTTGTTACTCCAGTATTTATCCCAAATGTCACCCCTATCTCTAAAGCTGACCTGAAGTGGGACAAACATTGGAATTATCTGGTAGTCATCAGATGACCAAAAGGTTTTCTCCTCTGGTATGTACTGGTATACATTTCTTATCTCCAGCAGACATTTGGGGAGGGGAGTGGAAGATCATATAAAAAACATTTTCTGGCTTCCTGTGGCTGTCAGAAAACGTTTATCTTACACCCAACATCTGCTTGGAGATTAAAGTGTCTATGTCATCACAAGAACAAGAAAACAACATCTCTGCTTACTCTAGGTTGTAGATTGTATTTGACATTTTGAAAATCTTAAATCTTGAGTTTAGATGGGCAAACTGCTTCGATCACAGTAGGTGCTCAGATGAGAAGGTAAAATAATCTAAGGTACCATCAGAAATTTCCAGGTGGTATCTAATGCAGAGGTGGTCACTACTACAGGTTTGACTGTATAAATGAACTGTGGTAGGTAGCACAGACTTGCCCTGTAGGTCACGTATGCACATGCAACCTAGTGGTCAAGCCGTCTCTTCAATTGGAGCAGAGATCTGGTATTAAAGCCCGTGTCGGTGGTCAGTGGCACAGTCAGTGTGGTGTCCATCTGTATAGCAGCAAGTTGTTCTACTGGTCACACACAGGTAAGGGAACTTTTTCTATTGAATAACAGAACACAGCAAGCTCATGTTTTAGACCTGTCTAGAGTGCTGACTCAATGGACTATGGAGAGAATAGACACTGGTTGTATTATTGTAGATGGGTATTTTGCCATTCATGTTCATTGACAAAGTATTTGTGTGCTTCTTTGATACATGTTTTAGAGGTTGGACAGCAACTTGGCTTCTTACTGAAAAAAATAGTTAATTGCAGCCAAATCAGAGGATTATTTTGTTCGAGGAACAAGTAATGGTAGCAGAGCCCACTGGACCAAGAGGTTGGGAGTTCAAATCCCATTGTCGATCACTCAACATGCACTCTACTGGAAAGGGTCATTAAGCAATGCTCCACTGTTTATTGTACTTGTTGAAAATAGCTACCGGTAGTACATGTAACTATAAAATGTACAGCATTTGCCTTCTCTGACCAGTGAAAGTGTAGCTTTTCAGTGAACAGATCTTTTCTTGATTCCTCTGGTATTCAACCCATTTTCTGCTATTTTTTCAACAAGCAAAGTAGTCCGGTAAAATGACCTAGTTCCATTGAACAGTGACGACCTTGGATTGAAGTGGTGTTTCTCACACATTCTACTGTTTGTGAGAACTATAAACACATTTCTGTATTGACCTACATTTTAGCAGGTTTTACCAGCTAGGCAGATACAATAACCTAATTTGGTAAGGCTATTTGCAGAATGATGTACATGCGGAGAGAACACACACTTGTTCACTGATGAAAAGCGTAAAATTGAACTTTGAGGCATCTTTTTTTTTCCTCAGGTCAGTTTTCTGTTACCATGGCAGCCAACATCTTAGTCTTGGTGATGTGCCTGTTTGGGGTGGCTATTGCTGGTAAGATACAATTAATACAATCTTCTTAGCATTGATAACTCTGGTACTATAGGCATGCCAATTTCTTAGCCTTTTCTGAGCTGCTGTAATAGATAACTAGTTGTTTGTTAGTCATTTTTTGCAACTGTCATCTCTGTCCTTAACCTTTCTTGTCTAGGCCCAATCCGAAGGAGGCAGAGTGAGTCTGTGGATGAGTTGTTCATCCCGGGTGAGCTGCCAGACACCACCAGCTTCTGGATCATCAATGAGAAGGGAAAGTTTGTGAAGAACCCTTTCTTCATCCCACCTCCGCCTCTACATGTCACACGTGGGGAAGAACATCTGCTGATCCCTGGAGCTGGAGCCGAGACGTTACCCGACACGCTGCCAGGACTATTTGACCCCTATCCGTATGATCCGTATGCAGGTTTAGACCCTGCAGCAGGCCTGGGACTAGAACCCATACCCTTTGCCTTAGACGTACCGGCTCCGGTAAAGCCTCGAGCGAGGGCGTGGATACAGTATTCACCGGCGGCGACACCTCCTCCAAAGAAGCCTCAACAGTCTGTTCTTGAATTACCTGCTCCGGAGCAACCAGAATCAACTGTGCTGGAACAGACTGCTCCAGAGGAATCCAAACTACCTGCTCCAGAAGAACTAGGACCACCTGCAGTGGAACTACCAGTTCTGGAGGAACCAGAAACAATAGAACCAGAACTGCCTGCCCCAAAGGAACCTGATGTAGATGCACAGGAAGAGCCCAAACAACCTGAATCAGAAGTACCTGCTCTGGAGGAGCCAGAAAAACCTGAACAAGAATCACCTGTTCCGGAGGAAACAGAAGTGCCTGCTCTGGAGGAAACAGAAGTGCCTGCTCTGGAGGAACCAGAAGTGCCTGCTCCGGAGGAATCAGAAGCACCTGCTCAGGAGGAGCTGGAGGCATCTGCTCCACAAGAACTAGAAGTGCCTGCTGTGGAGGAACCAGCCGTGTCTGCTCCAGAGGAAACAGAAGGGCCTGCTCCAGAGGAAACGGGAGCACTGGAGGAACCGGAAGTGTTTGCTCCAGAGGACACTGAAGAACTTGCTCCGGAGGAACCAGAAGCAACTCTTCCAGAGGAACCAGAAGAGCCTGCTCCGGAAGAACCAGAAGAATCTGCATTGGAAGAACCAGAAGAGCCTACTCCGGAGGAATTGGAAGAATCTGCTCCGGAGGAACCAGAAGAATCTGCTCCGGAGAAAACAGAAGAGCCTGCTGCAGAGGAACCAGAAGTGTCTCTTCCGGAGGAAACAGAAGCACCTGCTCCGGAGGAAACAGAAGCACCTGCTCCTGAGGAACCAGTAGTGTCTGCTCCAGAGGAACAGGAAGTGTCTTCTCCGGAGGAACCTGAAGCACCTGCCCCAGAGGAAACAGAAGCACTTTCTCCGGAGGAACCAGAAGCCCCTGTGCTGGAGGAACCAGAAGAGCCTGCTCCAGAGGAAATAGAAGTGACTGCTCCAGAGGAACCAGAAGAATCTGCTCCGGAGGAACCTGCTGAAGAAGAAGCACCAGAAGAGTCGTCTGTAGAGGAAACAGTGACGGTGGAAGAACCTGAAGAAGAGACAGTTCCACAAGAGTCTCCAGGTACACTTATTCCTTGTCTGCCATATCTACCATCTACCATAGTCATTGTGATTTTCTGAGGTGTAAGTAATTGAATTTTGAGTATGAATGAATGAATGAAGGTATCCAGTGGAGGCATTTGATTTGATAGATTTCTAATCCTCATGACAACTTACTCTTCCCACTCCAGAAAAGAAAGAACAGAAGAAGGAAGAAAGTACCAATGAAACTATTGAGAAAGGTGGGTGTATTTTCTACATTTTCTACCTGCTTCGGGATGCATTAGTGCATAAGATTAAGAAATTTTCCATCTTGGATAGAACAAACTATGTATCTTTATCCCGTCATTACATTACTATTCTTGTATGTGCCAATGCTACTGTAAAGCTCAGTGTATCTTCCACTTGTTTTCCCCCACTCTAGAAACAGCAGTGAAGAAGAATGAAGAGCCTAAAGGTGTGTACAAAAAGCTTTGCTTCACTTTTCCTTCATTTATACGTTTATTTATGTCTTTCAAAATCCTTTCATAGTGATTGATATGTGTTGTACAAGTTATATTATTTATTTAAGAAGGAAAACATGTTGTTACCTCCATGAAAAATGGAGGTATTGTTTTTGGTATGTCTGTGTTGAAATTTATGAAGACTCATATTTCATATGAGGTCTGAGGTATGAAGTCTCCGAATGTTGTTCTTGTTCTGTTTCTTCTTCTTCTCCATCACATAAGGTTAATGACCTGGACCAGACGGCTGTTACCATGGTAACTGGTGATGTAGGAGGCAAAAGATAGTGACAAATTATCTTACATCTCTCTTCCAGCACCTGTGACAGCGGCGCCCCCTCGCGGGAACAACAATGTGGTGCAGATCGTGCCTTACGTGTGGCGCAACGCCCCGCACTACAACCCCTGGCACCCAGACAACTACTGGATCTTCACCAAGGACGGGTCATGGGCCAGAAACCCCTTCTATCGGCCATAGGCGGTACTGCAGCACAGTAAATCTGCTCATTCTAATGCAGTCAAACCTACCTATAGCGACCTCCGAATGGACTTGGTCGTAGTAAACAGGTGGCCACTATATATTTACTATTTACAGGGTTCTTATTGTTTGTGTCAAGTTTGACTATAATTTTTTTAATGATTATTAGACAGTGACCAAGATATATATACAGGCACATATATTCAGCCACAATACTATAGCCATATAAATGCACGTGGTCTTTAAACAGAGGTGGTTACTAGTTAAGATGTAAGTGTACATCAGTTCAAATTTATCATCATATTTTACATACAATTTGTGACTTGTGGCGTTGTGCAGCTTTCTGTTTTATGCACATTGGATCAGGTCAGGTTTAATATTATTCCTGATATTATTTGTTTCTTCAATAGAATCTAACTTTACGGTGTTTTGCAGTGAAATCTCAGTTCTATTTAACGTTAGTTTTACATGCCTGGTACAGGGTAGTGATCTACTTTATCTTGAAATACTACAGTAACTTGTGTATAGTATAGTAGAGAGGGGGTAGCAAACTTCGAGTAACGCCTGGTTCAGCAAAGGTCTCACTTCTGTGAGTCGGTGTCTGCAGAAATGTCAATAGATCGAGTATTTCACGAATGACCGTGGACACACTACACTTGGTTGCTGATCCGACTGTGCTTCTTTTTTTCACCCAAGTGTCAAGAATGAAGTTTATATACGTGAACGGATCAGAAAAACTTGCGGTTTGGCGCGAAATTCAATAGAAATATTTAGGAATCCCCGAATTGTTTTAGAAATAATTTGTGCAACAGATTTAATAGAAAAGACACGCCAAATAGCCAATGCACACCGGGCAACGCGATTTTAAAACCACCCCATCTATACCTTTAATAGTAACAAACTCCTTTTGCCCGCACTTTATCTACAACTGAGGCGAAGTCGCTCGGTAAACTCTAGACTTAACGCGGATCTTGAGGAATGTAAAGTTTGTCTTAGCCTCTGCCACGATAACTGTATACAATACAGGCTTATCCAGTCCGCGCCCCTCAGAACTTTAAGATCAACTCCAGACCTACGTGTAGTTTTGCGCGCGCCAGCACTTAAGGGAAGGATTTAAGAGTTTCGAGTGACAGTAAAAATACTGTAGACCGAGTGTGTTAGCTCATGGTTGTAAGAGTAGCAGTGATGAACTGCTGATCTATTTCGTGTCTTTCTGAACTTGAATGGCCTTCAACCCTTCAACTTGTCTAGCGACGATATTTATGTGTAGGCTTTGCTTCGAGTTGATTGAGTGTAAAATCTGTACCAGCTTCTGTACGTTAGATAAGCCTGTGCTTACAGCTCATTTTGTGGTTCTGCGAGTGACTTAAAAGGTCAACACCAAAACCAGATTGGGCCTGCGATGAATTTGGGACTTCAATTCATGGCCTGGTCAGTACGTCGCACGAACTAGTGAGGATTCTTGGTACGGTCGTGAATGTGACTTGCTAAGTCGCAGAAAAGGTAGCAAAAAGGTGACAGTGTATTGGTTATTTCCTGGAACCAAGAGGTCCCGGGTTCGAGTCCTGACATGCCACCTATCTTGTGCCCTTGGGAAAGGCACTTAACACGACTTTCCCCACTAGACTCAAGTGAAAATGAGTATTGTATGTCCAGTATTCGTTTCTACGTGTGGAACACAACACCAGCAACAGCTGCCTCTGTTCCGCGTGTATTGCACTGTTGCAATTTCAGTCAATCAAGTAAAATATGTCAATTTCAACATTAACGTTGGTATCTCACAAAGCCTGTGTTTATTTATCCCGTGTGCCTCTGGAGTTGAAGATCAAATCCAGAACTAGCGGGAGCCGGTTTAATACCGCGGCCCGTGCGTTGACAGAAGTGTGTCACCCGTACAGACTCTGCGCTGGCCCCGCTGAGTTTGTCTGTCCAACTCACACTGCCATAAATTCCCTACCGTACTCCTGCAAATAACTTCACCCCGTACCCACACTTAAAACCCTTCGTTTGACACTTTAAATACCAAAACGCGCACATAAATTTGTGTTCCTCTAAGATATAACATCACAGTTTGTTTTTGGTCATTTTAAAGAAAAGCTTAACTAGTAAGCACAGTATAACTACGCCAAAATGATACACTTCTTGTAGAACAACGGTATATTTTTCCGCCAAGGATTCTGAGAAAACGGGTAAGCAAACGCACATGCCGGACATACAAAAGACGAGTACGTCACCTACAGGAAGCGTTACGTAAGATATTGGCTCCAACCCCCTGTCGGTTTAAAAGACGCGCGCTAATTTTGTGCCAAGTTACGGTATATGGACCCCTCGAAGGGCCGCCAGCCCAGCCGAATAGCACGTCACAAGACTCCAACACCTTAACACGGAGACAGAAGAAGGTAGGTCCCAATTTTGTCTGTCTACTTTTGTTTTAGCTTCATGAAACGTGTGAGATTTACAACTTTTGTCTTTCCGCCAGAGATACACTGTTTTGTGCTTTACAAATGTGATAATTCTGCAGTTACTGTACTGAGTTTCTTGCCGCAAGCTATGATGATGTGGACTTGTCAGTACCCATAATACTCACGTCCAACTTTTCAAAATGGTCGTCTGGTTTTTCTACTTGTCAGAACGTTGTTGCCACGGTTCAGGGATTCTGTAAATTGAGTCGTTAATTTTAACGATTGTCGATTGTATATAATAGAATGACTGATTGTATATAAATAGAACAGCTTCTAGTATTACTGAGCAGCTTTGAGGAGATCGCTAAGTCATATACTTATCGAAAACTGCCGTTTATCTAACCACATAACTTAGCAAGAATTTATGCCTAAGCTATCTTATAATCAAAGAATAGGCAAGCTTTCAAATGTGATACTTAGATATACAGATAAAGGGCGGGGACGTCCAAACCAGTGCACCTTGATCTTAAATCTAAGCTAAAGAAAGATTCTTAGAGAGAGTACAGAGAGGTCTTTTTAGTTGGTCAAGAAACCACACCAATGCATTGCGGTCATCATTTGGCCAACAATTTCCGTGATGCCACTCAAATAATTTTAGTCCTGCTTTAACCGAAAACTGTGAGCAGCCACAATTGTTTTACGGTTACAAATTAGTTTACGGTGCATAACTCTAGCACATACTGCTGCATCCTCTTTAAATTGATACATTTACGAGAAAGCAGCAACGTGGCTTCCAACCTTGAACTTGGCTCGTGCTCAACACTCGCCATCCAACACCCGGACAGGTTTAACGGAAATCGGCTGTCTGGATGGCAGATTGGACTTGGCCGCTGTTAATCATAACCAGTACCTCAGAGAAGTTCATGTACCCAGATCTGTTAGGCTAAGGTCACGGTTTCAAACCGGGGCCCGGCCGGGCTGTTTGCGCGATACAATTTATATCACGACTATACACAAACAGTGCTCAAGATTAATTTTTGAACATTTTCTGTTTTGTGGTCTTTTATATCATATTTTTGTTCCGAAGTAGGCCCCGGTTTTGGAATTCTAACCTTAACATTAGGAAGATTAAGAAACGATTGTCAAACTTTATTGCTCAAAACGTACTGATTCTTCATAATTTTAGAAAGATACGTGCATGCGCTACATTTATAGTGTCACAATGATTGGGATAGTTCAGAAACTACAAAGCTACAAAGAACAAGAATATAGAAACAAAAGATGCTCCGAGCCAGCTATCCCAAATCTAATTGACGATTTTAAATTCAATTCACAGCATTCCTGATATAGATAATTCCTATCTTTAGTTTTCCTTACTTTGCAAATTTATTCCCTACGATTGCTACACCCTGACCCTTGGAACTTAAGTAGTTGTTTATTATGATAAGGGATTGTAATCGTATCCGGACCTTGTAAATTTCTTTCGTGTTGTTTTAACTCTTGGCTTTAGTTGGGCGCACTTCTTTCCTTGGTCTTCAGCCATGACTTTTGTCACAACACTTACGAGCCAAAATTCATGAACGCACCAGTATTTTAAATCTTCAGGAAATAGAAAGATATCTTAACGTATGAGTTAAATAGCTGAACAATTTACATTTGACGAGCCACGTGGCACATAAAATTCGACTAACGTTTAAAGGCTATTTTTCTCATGTATAAATGTTATGACAAAAAGATGGCACAAGAGGTATGAATAAAAGTAGTAATAGGTACAATCGTTAGATTATCATGATATGTATATAATCTTTTATCAATTTAAGTTAAATCTGCACTGTTTTTAATAGATTGAAATACAAGGCTTGGTGTAGGTAGTTTAAATGATCTTAAATGTGTACATTTCTAGTTCTATCATCTTTCTAAACTTAAAATTCCTGCGTGTTCATCTACTTGGTGTTAAAACTAGATTATCTGTTGGCCAGCTCTATGCGACATCCTGTGGGTTTAGCCGGTTCAAGTTGGCATCACGGTAAACTCCCCCGTATGTGCGTTTGGCACGTTGCCTTGTCTTGAACTTCTGAGTAGCCGACTATATCCTGCCACCGGTACCCTTCTGCATACCACAGTTGGAAGTTTCCTGTATCTGTATAGCTGATATAATATCTCTTTGGCTGAACACACAGGCTTAGTGGTTGGGTGTTGGTTGGTTGGCTAGGTTGTGTCGTCTGCGTCTGAGGCATTGTTTTAGGAAAAAATAACACTTATCAAGACCTACTCACCTACCAAATCAAACATCAAGACAATCTAAACCTTCTCGAGTTATTATGTTTAATTGACGGACGGACGGACACACACACGCACACACACACAAGAACACACAAGAACACATACACACAAAGACGCTCACACACACGCACATACACACGCGCGCGCGCGCACACACACACACACACACACACATGCACAAACACACACAAATACACTCATAAGTGTTATTTTTTCTAAATCAAACACACACACACAAACACACTCACACATACACTCACTCACACACACACACATACACTCACACACATACACTCACTCACTTGCTCACTCACACAAACAAACACTCTCACACAAACACACACACACAAACACACACTTCTAATTGGCGAACGTAATAAAATTTAAACCTAAGTCTAAACCTCTGCTTGGAGAGCATGACAGGGACCTTCCTTACTAACTGGCAGGGTGACACCACCCCATCAGTGCTTGGCGCGTTGCCCCTACACATGGTCGACACATGTTCTCTGTCAGACGGGACGCTTCCGAAGTCATCCTGACCCGTCTGGTGTCGTTTGCGCCAAAAATAAATACCTGTCGTCTCACAGGAGAAGATTTACGACCCGCCATCTTAGCTGGTACACGTTGGAGGAGCCGCGAAGGTGGTCTGTCACGGGGTCTGTCATTTCTGTAGAAGACAGTCCGCACTTTGAGGGTTGTATTAGGCACCGCTCATTGTAAAGACTTCAAGGGGTCAGGGGTCGCCGTGTTGTAACCACCGTGGCCTACGAACCATATATAAAGCAATGACCCACATAAACCCGATTTTTATTTATCTGTCATTTCTGTAGAAGACGGTTCACACTCTGGGTGTTGTGGTAGGCACCGGTCACTGTAAAGACTTCAAGGGGTCAGGGGTAGACATGTTGAATCGGCCGTGACCTACGAACCAGATATAAAGTTTACAATGACCCACATAAACCCGATTTTTATTTATCTGTCATTTCTGTAGACTGAGACGGTCCACACTCTGGGGTTGTGGTAGGCACCGGTCACTGTAAAAACTACATGGGGATGGGGTGGACATGTTGTAACGACCGTGGCCTACGAACCATATATAAAGTTTACAATGACCCACATAAACCCCATTTTTATTTATCTGCCGGGTTATATAGATTACATATTCTAGTCTCCACCAGACGCCTTTGCAGGCTAAATTTACCTGAACAGGCTCCGTGCACGCAAATTGGGCCCTATATGGCCGGCTAACTTCCCTGGCCAGTGATATTCCTTTTAGCCCGATTTCTCCTTTTTATTCAGCCTGCAAAGGAGTCTGGTGGAGACTAACGTGTATCCACCACTTGTAAAAGCAGTGTGTATGGGGCAGCTCTAGTGCAGCACGGTTTATATATGCAGTAGTGTATCATACTAAAGTGGACGTTACGTTGGAAATCTCTCTCGATGCAATATTTCACGGATTGTATATTATATTATGTGACTTGGTGAAATTGTGTTAGTAGACGTTAGATGGACATTTAATATTGTTTTTATAAAATTCAGTTCGCCACATTGCGGATGACGCTTAACAATTTTCTTGAAAGCCTTTCGTTGCATTGTGTTTGAAAGTTGGCACAACTTCATTCCTACCGGATGATTTTGTACCTTCTAAAAGATCGTTCTAAACCTGCCTCTATCTCTGTTTAATCTCCTGTATGTTGTATAAAAGTTGCCCGTAGTTTGGGTAAGAAGAGCAAAACTTTCCCTCCCTTACTGTGACATGCACGTCCCTACCCTGGGTGCCAAACTAGTATTGGGCCGCTAGCAATTTCCTTCGGCAGCCAAGAGCCCCTTCGCCCGCGGGTCTAAATTACCGCTACGGGGAGACTAGCCCGGGCTCAACTCCCCCGTAGCGGTCATTTAGATAGGCGGGTGAAGGGCTCTTGGCTGCCGAAGGAAAACGGCTAACGGCCCGATACTAGTTTGGCACCCAGGGTAGCGCGTCCCGTCTGTCCGCCAGGTTTGGAGCTACTCAGTTTCCCGATCACGTCTAAACTTGACACGTGTGTCTTCACCCCAGACACAGCCATCCGTCAAGTTTTCTTACCTTCTGTCTCAAGAATTCCCAGGGGGGAAAGGGGCGACCAGGGAAGACGCGGGAGCTTATATCACGCTACTGTGACCAGAACTAGCACAATACGGACTTATAAACAACACATGTTCACCGCCTAATATTCGATGACAGCTTCAACCGCGAGAATAAAAAGACTATACGAAAGGAGATATTCTTAATTTAGAAACTCTTTCTAGGAACAGCTGCAGGTTAGGTGTAAAAAAAAAAAGCAACAACGTGTTTGCTTTGCTGTTAGAAGTTCAGTTTATCTGTGTTTATCTTAATAAATAGGTATATAAAGAGGGGGCCTGTATTGTACAATGGAAGAATGGTGGCCTTTGGTTTTTATTGATCAATTGGTGGTTTCTTCCTCGCGTTTGGCTCTATAAATCATTATCGTAATTAGCTGCAGTACTCCATTTTCCTGGCAGATGGCACTAATACTCAGTGGTTGAACTTTAAGAGAAGGCAGGAGCATGTACGCGTGTTATGCTAAGTAAGGTTATAAATTGGTGAGAACATGTTTTGAATAGCTAATGTTTGGAATGTCTATTCTTATATTTGCATCGTGACTTTTTTGCAGGAGGAAGAACTTGCTGTCGTCATGACAACCTGGCTCGTCGTGTCCCTCTGTCTCTTCGGGCTGGTCTGTGGAGGTACAAACTTCTTAAGATGTCTTAGATTTCTCACAGATTTCGTGTCCTTCTCTTCCTTGTACGCATGTGTATCCACTTGTTTGCTTGCATGTATAGTTGTAGTATAGTTTACTGTATTAGTATGTTATATTGTGTATGTTTAATCTTTGTATTGTTTGGCACCCGAAATCAGCTATGCTGCCTGGGTGGCCAGTGTATTGTATTGTTACAATTGAATTAAAATAGTTGTAGTACACCTTACGAAAGTCACTGTACTTTTTGTGTCAACAAAGACGGTTTATACTGTAGTTTCAAACAAAAGAAATTAGACTTACCCACATTATCTATGAAGAGAATTAAACTGTTCTCCAACTCAAGAAAATTGACTCACCGGAATTTTCGGCAGTTTTCTGACCCAAGTGCTGTAGACATGTGACTTTTAACCCACGTGTGACGTCAGCACTGGGTCAAAGTTCGTCGGAAGTCGGTAACGACCCCCGTCCCGGTTGGTTCGAAGGTTGATATGGGGAGGGGGCGGTACCGACTTAACAACTCCACTTTGTGTTTCTACCAACACAGATGAACGTTTCAAGATTCAGCACTATAAGGCTGCGATTGCACGGGTGATATTTGGCCAATAAACCATTATTATTCATTATTATTATTTAAGATAATAAATTGTTGTTGTTTCTCTTCTCAGGGCCAATCCAGAAGAGACAGGCGATTGATACCAGCAGTTACTGGATCCTAGATGAGAATGACGAGTATATCGTGAACCCCAACTACATCGCACCTCCTGAACCAGACCTGGATGAAGATGAAGATTACTACTATCCTGATGAGGACGAGGACGAAGACTACAAGTACGAAGAAGAGGAAGAACCGTACTACCCTGATGAAAACGAACCGTACTATCCAGAAGAGGAGGACAAACAACCGGAGTCGGAAATTGACACCACGAGCTACTGGATTCTAGACAAAAACAACGAGTATGTTATAAACCCGAACTACATCCCGCCTCCTGAGCTGGAGTATGAAGACGGGGAAGGGGAGGATTATGATGACGATGATGATGAAGAGGAGGATCCGTACGAACCATATGAACCGTACGAACCGGAACCAGATCCATACGAACCGGAACCGTATCAGCCGGAACCAGACCCGTATCCGTATCAGCCGGAACCGGATCCGTATGAGCCGGAACCAGACCCGTATCCGTATCAGCCGGAACCAGATCCGTATGAACCGGAACCAGACCCGTACCCGTATCAGCCGGAACCAGACCCGTATCCGTATCAACCAGAACCCGATCCCTATGTACCAGAACCAGATCCGTATGAACCGGAACCCGACCCGTACCCGTATCAGCCGGAACCAGACCCGTATCCGTATCAACCGGAACCCGATCCCTATGTACCAGAACCAGATCCGTATCAGCCGGAACCCGACCCGTATCCGTATCAACCGGAACCCGACCCGTATCCGTATCAACCGGAACCAGATCCGTATGTACCGGAACCAGATCCGTATGTACCGGAACCAGATCCGTATGTACCGGAACCAGATCCGTATGTACCGGAACCAGATCCGTATCAACCGGAACCGGATCCGTATGACCCATACGTACCGGGTGGGGATCGGTTTTCGAACGAGGTGGAGCCAAAACAACCGGATCCGGACCCCGTGCCGCCGGAACCGGAGGAACCTGTTGTAGTCGCGCCAAAAGAAACACCAAAGGCGGAGGGAGAAAATGAAGCAGCACCGGAATCACCAGGTACGTCGTCATGGTGATAAGGAAATAGCCGAGATGATTGCTTTTATGTCATAGCCTCTGATCTGGTACGGGTGTTCAGGCCCGTGTGATAACTAGTGGTATCACACGGGCTTCCAGATGTTCGATAGAGTAATTCGAACGCGTTTCGCGTGCGCCGCTTTCGAAAATTCGAATACCGGATTCGAAGGTTGGAATTCGAATTGATACTCTCTTGCAGCCAGCTTAGAGATCGTGTCGTACTTTACCTTCACCCCAATTGATTATGACAACTTTACCAAAAGTTTCTTTTCCTCTCTTCCCCCAGGCCAGCCCGAGACCCCTAACGGTAACGGTCCGATGGCGAAGGTGGACCCGTACGTGTGGGAGGACAGGCCGTACTACAACCCCTTCCACCCGCTCAACTACTGGATCATGAACAAAGACAAATCATGGGTCCAAAACCCCTTCTACGATCCTAATTATCAATTTAAAAAGTAAAACTGCAATCAGATTTGTTTAAAGTTAAAACTTTTGTTCCAACACAACAAATTCCTCTCACCTAGAGCTTTCGACCAGTCACTCTGGTCTTCCTCAGTAGACTGACCCAGTGAGGCTTGTCACGTGGCTTCTTTGAAGAGTGACTGGTCGAAAGCTCTAGGTGAGAGAATTTTTTGTGTTGGATCAAAAATTATAACTTTACACATGATGAATTTTCATGATTGCAGTCAAATTATTTGTACATTTCACAAACCAAGCTGGCATACATGCACATAGGTAATTTCAATAATAGGCAGGGCTTAATATAATATATACTTCAATCAATATGTACTTAATTCCAAAGCATCTTTTTCTCTTTCTATAACACAAAAGTACGTTGCGTTGTAACTTGAAGTTAACAATGTTAACATATTTTGCAAGGATCGAATAGGCAGGAGCCTTAGCTATGATATCTTTTTAAAAGCTCATTTCAGGTAGTGCGCATCTAAGAAGATTAGAACCACAAGAAGAGTAGACTTTGCTTCATTTGTTAAGATAACGATACATTCCAATGTCAATGCTGTCATTCCTAGACATAGATTTATGTATTCCTAGACATAGATTTATGTTAAATTGTTGTTAAATTCTGTAGGACAGACATCTGCTTGGAGATTCGAGCTCACTGTTGTTGATAAGAAGGCCTGTCTGTATACAGAAAACCTGTTAGCTTCTTCACCCCTGTACAGCTGTACTGAATTAAACTGTTACCTACACATACAGCGGTTTGTCTGTTATATATAGATCCTAGACTCTGTCTGTGGTTCACAGGATGACCTTAGCCCCGAATTCTATTAAACAAGGACTTACTGAGAGCGTACTCCGCTTGCGCGACACCCCGGGCGCTCAGACTGGCAGATTTGGATTTATCAGTCTATTATCGGTGGCGAAGTCAACTGTCGGCAACAACTACACACTGTTTAACCCTTAAACGGCGTTTGTCACAACAGGCTTTCTGTCTGTAACTAAGTTCCTGTCTTAGGTCCGTTGAAAGTACGTTAGACAATCTCCTTGGTTGTGTCAATATATTCACAAATAGAAAGGTAACATTTTCAAAGCAAATGCATAATGTTTATAAAATATAAATTACCTTTGCATAAGGTCTGCTCTGTTAATTCTTACTCAAATACATTCATACATATGGTCAGAAAGGAGTCTAAATCCCTCCTGCTATAAAATTGCAACATGATGTAACCCAACACTAGTTACCATGGTAACAGCCACGACATTGGTTCAGGTCATTGATGTCACTGTTTGGAGAAGAAGAAGAAGAAGAGGAAACGTAGCAAAAACAGTATGTTTTCCTTCGGTGAATATACATATTTCACGAAGGTCACTCAATGCTTATTACGTTTTTTTTTATTGATCAAAACATGAAACATAATATTAAAGGCCAGTGTGACGCTGCACTCAAGTTTATAACTTATATCAACAGCGCAACACAACAATGCTTTATTTCGTTCCAGTGACATACTTGACAACCGCGATTTTTTCATCATAATGCTGTCAGGTGATGGATATTGTCAGACGACAAATATCCTAAAATATGTAGTAAAATATACTCTTTTATTGTAGATAATATTCAGCGCTTAGATATGTGTACTCTATGTGCCCTCCTCTTCTTGGTTGGTCCCATGTATGATAGCGTGAGTTGTACAGGGAGTTGGGTAATCCTGTTAACAGCAAATAGGATTTGCGTGGCCCTCAGTGCGGACCCTATCCCCTACAATCACCAACTCACGCGGCTACTGTTTAACGTTACCTGTTCGTACGTGTGGACCAAAGTCTCACATCAAGGACACTGGACTGGACACTGATTCCGAAGGTCAAAACAACAGTCTAACACCGGACAATACCTGTTCCTGCTCACGTGAGTTCCCGTGTCATGGTCACACCAGCGGACCGCTAACTTACGATCCAAAGGGCGGTAGTGGCAAAAGTCTTTAGGAGGCGGTGTCACCTCAACTGAGCAGGTATGTTAGACTTTTTAGACCTTTTTAACGCTTTAACAAACTTTTACGAACAAGTTGTATGTAAGGAGTTACGTTTGTGAGTGAAAGACAAGATTCTCATCTTTGGTTTTGTACCTTTTCTGGTTCAAATTCGCGCTGATGTCTGTTTTTTGAAAAGCCGACCATATATATAGCTGTGGGTTCAAAGGTACTAAACTTGACTTAACTGTGCATGGCTGTCATAACAAGAGGGAAAACATTGAAGCTTCTGTTCGTATTACTCTTTATTTAGCTTTTAAACAGAGCCAAGATGACCGTGTGTTGTCTTCTCTGTGTCATCTTTTACTGAAGACTTCATGCGAAGATGGCTTGCCAAAAGGTTTTCGAATATGTGTTAAAATGAATTGGTTTACCGCTTAAAATGTGGCTCGTTGATAATGTTTTGATACTTTCTAGCATTTCGTGTGGTGTGTTTTTGGGTAGGTTTGGGTTCTAGACATACATCGTACCTAGTAGTAAATTTGAAAGGACCCCGTCATACGTCCGTCTGTGCCCTTGCGTGTTGAAGAGGGAATAATCAACTACAGACCTTGAATGTTATGAGAGACTTAGTCTCGCACTGCAGACATTTAGGAAAGTTAACTTGACTTCATGAACCAGCGATCTCCCAGGTAACATGCTATTACAAAGTGTGCTAGAAATTAAAGAAAAAAGTTTTAGGTAGTGTCTAAATCATATCATCCAAGCATTGCATCTATAGGTCAGACTCAGACGTGTCAGTTTGTGGGGCATTTTGCGACCCTTAAGTTTAGTCTCCACATCACAACCAATTAACCCCCTCCCACCCCTTGCCTCGGGTATATTGGAAACCTCTAAGTAGTGTTGGGGACAGGGGCAGAACCACGATGGTCAAATTTGAGCCCAAATATTCCAACCTTTTAATCGAACCGAATCATGTTCGATATGACGTCATTCGAATCGAATCATGTTCGATATGACGTAAATAGAACCGAACGTTCGTTCGATACGGGGTCACCTGCGGTCACGTACCGTAAACCCGCGACTTCAAGCCCGTTTTTACACGACTACCTCCTAACAGTAAAAAATCAAGTTTTTCACAAATATAAACCAATTTCGGGACAGTACATCTATGCCCAGTTTTAAAGTTGATATGTAACATGTAACGAAGCTACTGCCGTTATCTTGTGTGACCTTGACGATCGTAATTGTTGTTTACTGGTATATAAGTTACCCCCTCTACTTACTCACCCTGCCTGACATGCTTGCAAACCTGGTATTTAAACCGCAACAAAAACAAATTCAATTTACCTCAGAAACGGTTTAAATTGTATGCAAGACACAAATCTCGATCTGTGTCGGACGGATTTTTTAAAGATGGCGGCATTCTGGAATTATCGGTCTTTGAAGTTGAAAAAGTGCATTTTTTGGCGAATTTTTCGGCCTTAGCAACACTTTAACTTGGAAATAAAGAAAACTGTCCGACTCAAATCTTAATTTTGTTATACTGTTCTCTAAAATGCAAAAATGAGGGATTTTCTGGAAGATTTGGGGTCGGTTTAAATCAGTTGTTTGGTTATTGACGTCGATTGTTCTAGAATAAGCATTCGACGCTTTGAGAGTGATTTCTCCCACATTTAAGCATTGTAATAAAAACAACAACATTTGAGCTATATGCAGTGCTGATTTTATCACATTTAAACAATGGAGTCCCCGTGAAAATGTTGATTATTGCTTAACAGAATGTTAACCGTTGAGACTGGCTCCACGGAAGCCGCGCGTGGAACCCTGGTAACCTGATACCCCTCCGTAGAATTGGAAACTTTACCATAGAAATTGACCGCCGTGAACTTTGGCTTCACACCGTCACGAAAAGGCCTCAGCCCCGAGTCTGGAGTTCTAGACTACCTGTCTCATAGTCATCTGAGGTCGTGGTTGTTATTTGTTGAAGGGTGTGAAGTATGAGTCTCATATTTGTCTCACCGGGAGGCCCAGCCCAGAGGTCTCTCAGCGATGTGAGGCGGCCATGGAGTAAGCGTTTATAAAATGTGGTCGAGGAGTAGCATTGACGCACTTTCATAGCTCGGAAACCAATTCTATACTGAACTTTGCAGCAGCAAAATAGCTGAATTGGGGTTTTGTACATTGAAACATACCAGACTAAACACAAATCGTGTACCTTTAGTAACCCTCTAACATTTTTCAGATTCTTCCCAGCTTCTCTCATTCCCGTCACGATGAGGAAGATACTGGTTCTACTGTGTGTGATCGGGTTGGCCCTAGCAGGTAGGAACGTACCATGCTTATATTCTGATGTACTTGTGATTTCTGAATAAAGAAATAGTCGATAAAACTAGAATTGTCCGCTATAACTCGTGGACCTGAATATTTGAAAAAAAAATGTTGTCCAATCCGTCATACAATCATCAGTATTGTTCCTCGCAAGACCAAGGCTGTGTAGAGAGTTTCCTTTTTTAATTTTAACGTCGCCTTTTCCCCGCCTGTAGGGCCAATTCCGGAGGCTCGTGAAGACAACGGAAGTGGGTACGAGACTCCGGAAACGGTTTATCCGGACGAGGAGGAAAAACCAGAAAATGACGGATATGACGTCACTCAGCCCGAGAAATCGGACACGGAATCGGATTGGCCATTCGAAGACCCCTGGACATTCGATACGGACTGGGAAATTCCGGGATGGGACGAGGTGGATCCCTACGATCCGGATCAACCGGATTCTGAGAGGCCAATATCCAACTATCCGGAAGAGGCGGGACCAGAGGAAAAAGATCTGTCCTACCCGGAACAGGCCGAGGTTCAAGAACGAGATCCGGATCCCTACTATCCAGATCCGGAAGAGTCCAACCGCGAGGATCCCGGCTTCTACTATCCGGAACAGCCGGATCAAGAGGAGCCAGAACCGGAGTATCCGGAACGAGAAGGTGAGTTGGACGATCATTCATACCTTTCCAATGATTATCCGGGATATTCCGGGGACGTAGTTGCGATATTCAACTGACAATTTTTGTATCTTCCATAAGGATACAAAGAGGATCACGGTGGAAACCAGGCAGCAGAACAGCAGCAACCACGACAGGAAGGCGCTGAAACCATGCCAGGTGAGACAACAAATAGTCAACATTGTTCTCAAAGGAATAGTCCCGAATATGCAAATAATATGCAAATGAGTTAAGGCAGATATCAGTCTAAAACTTAAACTTGCTACGTGGAACTTTGAAGCGTTTCCTTGCCCCTTTTAATCAGTTTTCTTCCAGTGGTTGGGTTTGAAGATGGTGGGTGTTTAACTAACGCCGTCTAGCGGAGAGGGTTGATTATTTCAGGTTGATGTTCCCGTCCCCCTTGCGGCTGTTGTAGGAACTGTAGTTATGTGACGTTATGTGTTGTAGTGGAGGAAGCCGCACAGTACAGACAGCCGGCTCAGGACATCGTGGCAGGCGGCTCACGTCCAGGTCAGAGGTCAAGGCGTCATGCTTTAACAGCAAAAGTGCCTGTAACATCTAAAACTATTGAAGCTTACAGAGTACGCTTTTTAATGGGACTTTAAAGAGCAGATTTTGCCTTTATCTGCAAGTCAACTAGACAACGCTTTATGGCACAATTAAACCAACTTGTAAAAACCATGTTTACAAGTGTTTAAATGAAAATATAGCAAATTGATAATTGGGGTTTTCCATATAAACCTGCTTACGTTTCAATTTCTATCAGACACCTTCCTCAGTAGTTCAGTACTCCAGTCAGAAGCGCTGAGGAAGGTGTCTGATAGACATCGAAACATCAGCAGATGAGAGTCTATATCCGTTGTGTTAAAATAAAAACCCGATATCCTATGTTTTGCCAACCGGATGAACTTATATTCGGAATTCCAACGGCCAAAAATTTTGTTCTATATCAACAGGAGTCCACCCGTGGTACCAGGACCCGGCGCCCAACTACCAGCAGTACAACTACGACCGTCAGCTGTACCAGTACTACAACGCGCACTACTACCCTCCCGAGGGGCAGATACACTACGGCTCGGAGGGGCAGTACTACCAGAACCCCTGGGCTTACGACCAGCACTACCTATCCAACCCGGACGGCTCCTGGGTCTTCAACCCCTTCTACAACCCAGACGGGGACTACCTCAAGAAGAAGTAGTAGCCGCGAGAAGAAATGTGCTCCTGAAAAAAAAATCATTCTAAATTTCGCGCGATCAGATATCATTTGGTTGAAGAAGTAGCTCTGAGAAGAAATGTGCTCCTGAAAAAAACATTCACGCTGACTTTCGCGCGATCTGTATTATTTGCTTGCTCTCCATGAAGATTTCGACGTGACCAATGGCAACACTTTGATTTCACCCCACACTTCAATTGTCATCCTTTCAAACCTAAACAAACCTAAACCTGGGTTCTAGAGCTGGACCAAGACGAACCTGCTTGCAGTTACACACTGCAAGAACAAGTTCGTTCAGAGACTAGCAACACTGTCATCATTCCATCCCAACCCAGCTAAGCCATTGTTACCTCAACAATCAGTGTTTAAACATATGCTACAGTCAAGGAGGTTCTTGCTTCAGTCAGACCAATGCTAACACAGCCCAAGTAAAGGCATTGTTTATCCATGTTTAACCACCTGGTACACCCGGACCAATACCAACATACTATAAGCTGCTGAAACCCCAGAACCTACAGCTGAACTACACCAAACAACTACTCACTGACACAAAACGATCCATACAAACAGGCCTTTTAGCTTCCGAAAATAATTTCATCAGGTTGTTACAACGTATGGTATTGGGGTTTTCTTTACACACAACTTGTACGGTATGTCTGTCAGACATCTCCTCAGAGCTTCTGAGTGGAGTACCGCTTTCCGCCGCTGTATGTCGCCCTTAGCTCTGTCAGACGACCCACTGGTTTCCCTTGTCTCCCACTCCAGTGCCTCCCGACCTACCCGCCGCCCATCCCGCTACCTACCACCCCAGCCAACCCGCTCCCGACCCCGGCAGCGACGACTACCCTGACTACACCGACACCGATGTACTTGTGTATTACACGTACCATAGCGTCGACACCTCACGCCTACATCCTTACCAGAACGTACCACAACATTACAACAACGCGGCCTATGCGCGCGCGGGGTATAGTCCGTACGACCCCCGTAACTACTGGATACAACATACCGACGGCTCGTATAGTGTCAACCCGTACTATCACGACTATAGTGATGATAGACCTTCTTACTTGTAGTAATCATGACTTTTATCAACATGATGGTTCGCTAAAGAGCTCGTATAATGGGCACGCACTGTCGTCACTATACTCGCGACTATAGTGATGGGCAATAGGCTATATGGACTATAGGCTCGTATAGTGTCAACCCGTACTATCACGATTATAGTGATGACAGGCCTCCTTACTTGTAGGAATCATGACTTTTATAAACATGATGGTTGCTTAAGTGTTCGAATAGTGTCAACCCGTAATATCACGACTATATTAGTGATGACAGGCCTCCTTACTACTTGTAGAAGTCATGGCTTTTATGAACAAATGTTCGCTTAAATAGTTAATTTGTTGGTATATATTATATTACGCCTAGTACTATGTTCAATAGTGGCTGCATGAAGGAGGCCATATGTGTGTGCACGTAGTATCTTCATTACTTGAGTAACGTTAATTGCTTCGCTTTACTTTGGTCTAAAGTAAGGTCATTTGCTGTGCAAAAATACAACTACATCATATCGTAAAGTTGTGGAACTATCATTGTGTCTTTAATATTACTATACCCTCGCGTCATTTTAAGGTTAAAAATCTTCACGTTATGATGCCGAATTCCACAGTGAAAGTCAACAGTCAAAGAATCAGTGACACAAAATGTTCCACCTCAGTTTTATTCCTTAAGTGCATCAGCTTCTACAGACACCACATTTGACTGTCACTCTAGTAGACAGACTAAAACACCATATACAGTAGTTGTTTAGTTATAGGTAGACAGTAAGTAGGAAAACACAAGCAGACCCGTGCCATTGGTCAAATTGGTAGCTTTGACTAACAGGTTGACTATATTGGAACAATGGCGAGTATTACTGTGTCTAATTAATGAAAGCTAAGAGAATGATTGTTTATATGAATTTTTGACCGGTTGGCTGCTACCGGAATGTTTGCAAAGGATGCATTGTTTATGCAATGTTTATATTGGGAGCATGCTATAAGGATCTAAGGAATGACACGTTTGACCCAGTGTTGACGTCAAAGAAGCCACGTAACAAGCTTCACTGGGTCAGTCTACTGAGGAAGACCAGAGTGTCTGGTCAAAAGCTCTAGGTGAGAGATTTCTTTGTGTTGGATCAAAAGTTTTAACTTTAAACAGATCTAAGGAATGAATGGGTGCAAAGGTCCATTCTGGCTGAGGGTGCACTTGCAGCCCGATGGGACCTGTATGTTGTGCTGCTCCCATCTTGGCTGGTAGTCGTTGCCAGTGTTCCTCAGGACCTTAACGGTCATGTACTGCTGGTCGCATACTCCAAAATCTGATCAACAGAAAGTACATGTATTTTAGTTAGTAAGCTACGAAGGCCCATAGGTACACTTAGCATTTTTTATTCCACTTTGTATTTTCTATGGGTACTTTGTATTTTCTATGGGTACTTTGTATTTTCTATGGGTACTTTGTATTTTCTATGGGTACTTTGTATTTTCTATGGGTACTTTGTATTTTCTATGGGTACTTTGTATTTTATATGGGTACTTTGTATTTTCTATGGGTACTTTGTATTTTCTATGGGTACTTTGTATTTTCTATGGGTACTTGTTTTTTTCTGTGTGTACTTCGCGAAGTTTTTTTGGTGGCTGGCGAAGCGACATTCATTTTGCTTTGATGTGGATGCTCCCATTTTTATTATGGGCGGTATATTTCTGTTTACCATTCCAGGCAACTAAATTTATTTTGAACCTATTAAAACATAATATACTTTACACTTTAAGAAAATTTTGTTTGCTTTGCATGCAATGTTCCACACGTTTATTAATTAGGAGTATCAAATAGTGATTATTACATCCTGGCATAGATTATGTTAATGTAGACACAGGACCATACTATTTTCGGGGGTGCTAGGACATATTGTTCAGACTTCCGTCAACATTTCCGTAGCGATATATGGTAAATCACTTCCTCGCTGAATGTAAATTACTCCTTTGTATTAAAAAAGCCCGTAATCTAAAGCGAGGGTTCATTGCCAATGTTGGGAAAAAATTGCATTGCGGTTTGCTGCCCTCCTACCAACCGCGAACGTTCATCACATGCAGTTTACGCAGGAAATATGGACAATATGCCGTTTCAGTAAATAACCTGACATCTAAAATTGTTGAAATATTCACAGAAACTCAAATTACACTCTAGGTTGACCGTCTAATCGTGTGGTAAGCTACATGTGTGCTGTAGTGACATGAATTGGCACTTTTGTGGGGAGGGGGGCGTCCCAACAAAGGTCAACGACCTCCATGGCTTACGGCCTATGTTTCACGCTTTTGCACTTCATAAATGAACAATTTTAGATGTCAGGTTATTTACTGAAACGGCATATTGTCCACATTTCCTGCGTAAACTGCATGTGATGAACGTTCGCGGTTGGTAGGAGGGCAGCAAACCGCAATGCAATTTTGGTAGGAGGGCAGCAAACCGCAATGCAATTTTTTCCCAACATTGGCAATGAACCCTCGCTTTAGATTACGGGCTTTTTTTAATACAAAGGAGTAATTTACATTCAGCGAGGAAGTGATTTGCCATATATCGCTACGGAAATGTTGACGGAAGTCTGAACAATATGTCCTAGCACCCCCGAAAATAGTATGGTCCTGTGTCTACATTAACATAATCTATGCCAGGATGTAATAATCACTATTTGATACTCCTAATTAATAAACGTGTGGAACATTGCATGCAAAACAAACAAAATTTTCTTAAAGTGTAAAGTATATTATGTTTTAATAGGCTCAAAATAAATTTAGTTGCCTGGAATGGTAAACAGAAATATACCGCCCATAATAAAAATGGGAGCATCCACATCAAAGCAAAATGAATGTCGCTTCGCCAGCTACCAAAAAAACTTCGCGAAGTACACACAGAAAAAAACAAGTACCCATAGAAAAAATAGTTAAAAAACCTCCTGTCTCTCTTGTCTAGTTTTCACTCCTTTTTGATTTTGTTATACCCCAATTAAAAACGGGTACCCATAGAAAATACAAAGTACCCATAGAAAATACAAAGTACCCATAGAAAATACAAAGTACCCATAGAAAATACAAAGTACCCACAGAAAATACAAAGTACCCATAGAAAATACAAAGTACCCATAGAAAATACAAAGTACCCATAGAAAATACAAAGTACCCATAGAAAATACAAAGTACCCATAGAAAATACAAAGTACCCATAGAAAATACAAAGTACCCATAGAAAATACAAAGTGGAATAAAAATGCTAAGTGTACCTATGGGCCTTCCTAGTAAGCAGTTTAAACACGCTGTATACAAGGCGGTGGGAATTTTCGTATGTCAGGTTCACCCAACTAATGATAGAGGGTGATATCACAACACCAGTTACCATGGTGACAGCCGTCTGGTTCAAGTCTACCTCTGCAGTCAAAGTGTTTTTTCTAGAATGGACCAGTATCAACGTACTGATTGCTTTATTATTGTTGCCGTACATTGTACCTTGTGCAACTGTCTAGAAATACATTTCATTCCTTCATTTCTTCCTTCCTTCATTCATTTCTTCCTTCATTCCTTCATTCATTCATTCATTCATTCATTCATCCATCCATTCATTCATTAATTCATTCATTCACAGTGTTGTTTGGAACTGAAGAAGAAGAAACGGAACAAAAACAACGTCTTCTGCGAAGGTAAACATAATTGGGGACCTACTGTTCAGGCATTTCTGGGCCTGGCATTTTCGCTCGTTCAGCATAGAAGGAAAGTACTCTGGTGGTAGTTGGCGGATGAAAAAACACTCCTGGCAGAGCGGGACCATGCCGTTGGTTCCCTCTGTACAACTGTTCAATGGGTAGGAATTGCCGATCTCTGTGCGTAAAGAAAAGAAATACTAGAAAGCAGGGACTGCCCCTGACTAGAAAGGTAACATTAGCAAAGAAAATGCATAATGTTTACCTTCACATATGGTCTGCTCTGTTAATTTTTACTCAAACAAACAAACAAACAAACAAACAAACAAACAAACAAACACACTCACATATATGGTGACAGGAGTCTAAATGCCTCCTACTATGAAATTGCAACATGATGTAACTAACACCAGTTACCTTATTTGTTTGGAGAAGAACAGGAAGAAGAAACAGAGCGAAAACAATCTGTTTTCCTTCTGTGAAGGTTCACATAATGCTGTTTCAACTCACTTGAGAAAAAAAAACGTGCAAAAACACCCTAAAAATACCCCAAAACCCAAACCTCTGCTTGGAAAATAATATAGTTGCTCTCCAAATGACTTACGGCGCTTTGTCTCCTCTACCTCACCCGTCTGCTCAACTCCCGCGAGATTCTGCGAGAAAAAGGAGAAGCCAAAGTTTATGGGCGTTGTCAGCGGATGACATAAGGTGATTTATGAGTTCCCATCTCCAATGTTTTAATCATTGTGACGACAACAGTGCAAACTAAAAAAAAAAAACTTACCTCGTCGTTCTCTGCCTCATTCTTCAGCGAATTCTCTGGAAAAAATGGTATTCTCGTCATTTTGACTGTTCTTTAAACGTTTAATAAGAGCAAAAGATCAGTTTGAAGGTCGTTCAATGACACCATGAAGGTTACAGGGTCCTTGGTGACGTCAAGCAGACCAGTCTAACTGCATAATTTTGCCCCCTGAAACGTGCGCCTGCTACACCCGCGGGGGACAATTAGGCGCTATGACTTGTACTGCTGTCTACCACAGCACAGACATAATCTGCTACATAAAATTAAAGGTCCGAGTTTCTGTACCCAGTAATTGACTTTTTTTATATAATTTGCGAATCAATCGCAACTGAATTTTCATCTGAGTCGAGTGAGGAAATTGGTATGAAGCGTGTTTTCCAAGTCGACACAACAGTGGGGCGGGGCATTCGAACCCAAAACCTTCAGATTTTGCGTCAACAAACTTAACCACAAGTTATTAAGAAAAAGAAGCAGAATTACCGTGATATTCCACCAGCTCAGCCAGTTCCCTGGCGTCCTTCTTGAGCAGTTCCAGAAGACTTTTGTGCTGCTGCCCTGGAGCCGCAGTGACGGTCCCGAACAGGAGGGCGGTAACGCACAACACCTGGACAGAACGTCAGGAAAAACTCAAGAAAACCGTCTTATATATCTTTGCGTACACTGTTACTTGCCCATTTCACGAAAGACATATATGACAATGTCGTGTATTGGAGCTTCGTATTTTAAATCTCGGGCGAGAAAGAAATTGTGACCTTGGACGGATCTTAAATTTAAAATGAAGACAAGCCAGGGAGACTGTAGCAGCCGATTCACGCAAAAGTAACTGTCGCCGGTCCCTAGCATATATCCTACATGTAAGTACGATATCCTGCAACAAGACGACACGAACTTTGAGAAAAAAACAGGACAAAAACATGAAATTATAGATACCAGAAGCTGCATGGTTTGTTGCTGACGGTCCAGACTGCACCAGTGCCAAATACCACTGCAGTCGTTTCTAACTCTGTAAAAATGTGGTAGAACAGCTTTCTATTGTCCTTGATGTCAGTAGGGTCAGTTTGGGGCAAGGTTTGCTATCGCAGAGATAGTCTAGTTTAGAGATTCAAACATATACTAAAGAGTGTTTAAATGATTGTTTAATTAGTAAAGAAACATAATTTGTATAAAAGAACGTTAGCACCTTACTTATAGTGGAAACTTAGTGACCCGAATGTCCGTTCTAAGAGTTTTGACCTTGCAAAAAGTTGTCTTACCAATGGGCGTTACCAAGGTCAAATCAGCTATTAGGCAAGGCTGACTTGATATTATGGATAACATTCACGCATCCATTTTGAAAAGAAAATCCTTTCAAGAAATCTTTACAAAACCTTCAGTTATGCTATCAACAAGCTGGAGCTTTGAGTTCCCGTGTTTGAGGAGAGTCATTAGTAATAGTACACCAATATCGTCTGAAAGTAGGCGTTACCTCAGTAACTACATTCAAACTTCCCGCCAAACTTGCTGACCAATGGGAGCCCTCCATCATCCACTTGACCTTTGTCCCCAGGGTCCTCACCAGAACAAGATGGCGGCCGAGTTTTGAAAAAGTGCTGGTTCCTTTGGGTTTTCATCGCGTCTTTTTAGGATCCTAAAAAGGTAGGTTCCACCCATTTTGTCAAGTATTCAAATCCACATTCCGTGTATACGATCTGGTTAACCCAATCGGGTTGAAGTCGTGTCATTTGAGGTCAAATCGTTGATCCGCGGAGAGGTAGTACCAAGTCAGCTGACTTCCCGCACTGCAGTGCAAAAATTCATCGTCATATTGGCTACACTAGCAAGATCAGCCGACAAGAAAATTGGATCCAAAACCGCGATATTTTACGCCATTTCTTACGTATCTTTAGTGTCATGTAATCACGTATCTGCTACAGGCTCCATAATAGTCTCTAGAAGGGGTTAAAATAGGTTGAAATCCGGTCGTAGAAAATGTTGCAGACGACACACCGCCCCCCTCCCCCTTGCTATATGACCTGACGGTCAGACGATGGGCGGTGCAGTGGCGGGCGGCGCGTAGGCGGGAGTCCTGCCGGCCTTCACATGGTTCTAACAACCCTCACACTGCGCCCTGGCGGTGACTCACGCGAAAAACTAACAAAACTCATGCTGAAGGCACGGATTGATCTGCCGAAAATATGGGTCATAATTTGGAAGGGGTGTGTATGTGTGTGTGTGTGTGTGTGTGACACCTCAAGCTAGCTGCACACACCCCCAGTTACCTTGAGGATACCTTGAGGATGTTCTGATAAAGGCACCCAAAGCGATTTTAGGACAGTAAAATTGCTGGTGACTCACGCGAAAAACTAACAAAACTCATGCTGAAGGCACGGATTGATCAAGATCTCTTCTGCCGAAAATATGGGTCATAATTTGGAAGGGGTGTGTATGTGTGTGTGTGACACCCCAAGCTAGCTGCATACACCCTCAGTTCTGATATTATTAAAAGGCACCAAACGCGATTTTAGGACAGTGAAACTGCTGGTGACTCACGCGAAAAACCAACAAAACTCATGCTGAAGGCACGGATTGATCAAGATCTCTTCTCCCGAAAATATATGGGTCATTGGGAGGGGTGTGTATGTGTGTTGTATGTGTGACACCCCAAGCTAGCTACATACACCTTCAGTCCTGAGTGTTAATTTAAAAAGTTAAGGCACCCAAAGTTATTTCAGGGCAGTAAAACTGCCAGTGACTCACGCAAAAAACTAACAAAACTCATGCTGAAGGCACGGTTTGATCAAGATCTCTTCTCCCCCAATACTATGGGAGGGGTGTGTGTGTGACATCCCAAGCTAAATTAAATGCACCCAAAAAGCTTTCAGGCCAGTAAAACTGGATTTTCAAGATCAAAAACTCAGATCCGATAAAGTTCAGGGAGGTATCCTCCCAGCATTTAAGGACTCTGCAATAACTGCACAGTACACTATAGAACCACATCCTGGGCATTTGACCCCAACTAAAGGGAAGGGTGTTGCCCAGTATTTATCCAGATCCAGATTGTTCAATGTGTTATCCTGATCATCATGTGCAAATGTTGACACTATGGCATGGCGTGTTCTAACACTTAGGTGTTGTAGTAAGATAAATTACAGAAGGATAGAATTAGGAATCTCGAGGTGGCACGTTGAGCACTTTGAAATATTGATTTATTGAGGAAAGATATTGATCAGGTGTTTGGTATTCGCTTACGTATGGACAACACTCAACAGCGATGTCTATATTTTGGGGAGGGATGCTATATTACATTTATTTCTTATTTTATTCACATAGTTCAGGGCTCGAAATTAACATTGTCCCAGTGTCAAATGACACTAAATTTTCAGCTTGGGACAATTCAAATTACGTTTCGGGACAATTTTGGGGCAATTGAAAAATTCTCATCTGAGACTGTCCACGTCATTTAGGAACGTGATCCATCCATCCTGCTGCGGGCTGACGGCAGCCCATAATACTCTGACAAACATTTAAATTTGACCAATCGGGGATTCCAAATGTTGCATGGGGAGGGGGGTGTTGAAGATGGTGCTGCGCCCATGATACTACATGTATCATGTATTTTCCTAAAGTGGGAAAAATGATATTTACTGTACGTCTAATATTAGACTTCAAGTTGTACAAAATTGAAATTGAGTTGTGTATTGTTGTCATGAACTTATTTCCTGAAAAGCAGGCTGGGACAGTCCATCTTCAGTTCGGGACAATTGAAATCTATTTTTGGGACAGTTCTGGGACAATTGTAAAAAAAGTTAATTTCGAGGCCTGTAGTTTATGAGCATTAGATATAGCAAGCACAAATAAAATAATAAATACGATCTTTTGCTCAAGAACATGCAAAATACAGGTTGAAATAACAAGAACAAAATGTGTAACGAACATTAAATAAAAGTGGCTGGCACACCAATAAACTTAAGATAAATTAATATGATAAATAAGATTTCATACGTGTATAAAAAAGCAGACCTGATAATGGTTCCAATTGCATCATGGGTGATATGTCAAAGTTGAAGTAAACATGTCTGACTATGCTTTATAATTATATATCCAAACCTGTTTTGTTTATGTCTTGGGGGCATATTACTCACAATGCACACTACTGTGTATGTGCAATTCAAACTCTAAATACAGTTTGCAGTCGAAACAATTCTGTAATACATTAGTATTAAAATTGGAATGCATATTGACATTGTCATGATTGTACATGTAGGGTGTAGAGGTCACTATGAAAATCAAACCACTGCAAACATTTTATGACTTACTGTATACAATGTACTATAATGTATGGACTGTGAAAGAGTGCTAGATCCAAGAGGTAAAAATATATGTCACTGAACATTGTACTACAATTTTCCCTCATACATGTACTATGAAAAAGTAACACAGAATCTGGCAGGTGGCACTTAATACCAGTCAGTTAATTGGTACATTTATATTCAATCCATCTATGTTGCATGTCAGTATGTTAGTTACTAAGTGGAACATTTGCCACTAATGGAATGTTCAGGGCGTTGGCCAAAGTGGAATGAAGCCAAGTTGCAAAATTTTGTTAGTCACGAAAGACTGCTGGTGGAATTAAGTACACCTTTTATCTATCATACACTCATTCATGCTCCAATAGCATGTATGAATTGGTGCACAGTTTTTCTAACCTTGCTACATTCTCAGGGCTCACAATACAAACAATGTACTTGCATGCAGCATGCAATTTGTGGAAAATTGTCTAGATTAGAATTTGTAGGTTGGAAAATTAGGCTGTATATTATGGGTTGCAGTCAAGTAGTGGAGAAGTTTAAGCTAGATAGCATTAGAAATACGTTAAAGAACCCACTGCACTTATCGAAAAGAGTAGGGGACCTTACTGGTGTGAGTGGTTTAAACCTTACAGTCCGGTCTTACGCAGCTTGTAATGTGCGTACAAAACTGGTGTGTTATGCCTAAAGGTGGTTTACCGGTTATGCGAAACAAACAAACAAACAAACAAATACCCGTGCAGCCTGCAATATCACAGGAAGAAAAATTAAGCAACCTGCAATTCTGCAGAAAAAAAATCAGGGTAGGGTTTAAGTTGACCGTTTAACAGTATTGGCCTACTAATTAATATAACTTTCTAATAAAATTAATATACAAATAATTTTGCATGTTACTATTTTTCAAACTGAATGTAAAATGTTTGTCAACATGCAATGTTGTATATATAGGTCCACACTTTAATGTGTATTTTGCAGAAAGTATTTCCGAATTGCAGAACAAAATTTTGACATTTTGCAATATTGCAGAATGCTGAGAAAAAGTATTTCTACCACTGCTAGAAGTCTTGGTCCATGTTTGTTTTGTTGAGCTTTTGTTTACTCAGAAAATACTGAACAGGCCTGCTGGCCACTGTTCATTGAGGTCACAGGGAAGAGGTCAGGGTCAGACAAATAATACAGGTTACAGGATAATTATATAGCAAGATTTCATACTACATATGTACGTAGCTATATTGTAGAACTTTCAATATTGTTGTCATAATCTCTCACTGTCACTCAGTGACAATGATATAAAAAATAGGCCTACTGTAGACTCTTATCCAAAGCCATAATTACAGTGTTACATTTTCTTATTGCAAAAAAAACAAAACAAAAAAACAAGCAAACACTGCAAACATTTTAAGATTAACAGTGTCCTCTTAATTACGCCTGAGTCTTTAAGTGTTATGAAAAGGTTGTGTTGAAAGAGATCTCTTGTAAAATCCTGTCACATAAGCCAAAAGGTCATGCCTTACTGGTATCTCATACAGATCATGTTGTACATAAGCTCATGGGATAAGGCAGACATCCTAATAATCCAATTAACTGGTAGGAAGTAAGGCTGTTTACAGTAATTTGAGGCTTATAAATTATTCAAATACAGTATGAGTTACACTATATCTTGGCTTGTCTTATAATTGTACAATATGATATAAGTTGTGCAAATTATACCAGTTATAGATTATACAATTGTATAGATTATACAATTGTACCAATTAGGTTTCGATACTAAACATAAATCATTCTAAATCGTACTACATTGTATATATATATAGTACTGTGTAAAAATAGAAGTGGTTGTTATAAGGTGCTCTTGTACCTGTGTGTTACGATGTGTATAATATGTTCTATACTTGAGAAGTGGCCCTTATGTGCATGGAGCTGCTATTTGCCATAAAGAGAACAGGTACTCAAAGTGTCAAATCAGAAACTCGAACGCAGAGTATACTTTAGAGTCATATATCAAAACCTTAGTGTTTCAAAACGTGAATTAAACTTGAAGCAAATATATATATAGGTGGGGATTCAAATGAAAAAGGGAGAGATGTGACATGTGAGCTAACACTGGTACTAAGGATACATTGGTATTGTGCATATGGAGCCCTTACTTTAGATTGTTTACATTTGGTGTCACTTACACATAGGTCACATTAGCTTGTGCATACTTAACCCACTCCTTGGTAATGTAGCTTTGCGGTACCAAATATAGAAGGGATGCCACGTGTGTGTATGTTACACAGCTGAGCTAGAGAGGGTTCAGAAAAATACTTATTAGAAACTATGAATTATTAACTAACTATTTTCTCAATAAATCAGTTCTAATCTCTTAATCTGAGGTCATTAGTCAACCTGTCAAGAAGACTATGTTTAACTTCTCTATGGTGTTTGTTGGTTTAGATATGTTTTGCCAAAAAACAGTTACTCAAGCAACTGGATATGATTTTGAAAATGTTGCTTTAGTAACTGTTTTTTGGCATATCGTATTACCTGGATGTCTAACCTTCATCGACGTAGATATGTTTTGGTTTGTAAACGTAATAACTTTAAGCCATTGTAAAATTCGTGCATTTTTTGGTCTGTGGGTTAGGTCTTTTTCCATGTTAAGATGCCCAACATATCCTAAAAGTTTAACATTTCACATTACTGGTAGCTACTGATATCATTGATATAATTTTAATAAATGCACGTGTATGATTATCAGATACTTAACCCAAATCGAACAGTGTCATATCTTCAGTAGTGAAATAGCAATATTTTTAATGCCACCTAGCAGTTATTGCAATATTGCCGTATTCTGGAAAGGCCTCTATTGTAGCTTACTTATTCCTGTGTGGTATGTGGGGAATGCTTTTTAATTAAGGGTTGGATGAATGGGCATGTTACCTGCTTTCCCTTTGGGGGATCTGGGCTAATTAGGTGAGCACTTTTACATTCGCAGCTACTAGTAAGGGAGGGTCAAAAATTTATTACATTGAGAATACATTGTAAACTGTAGGTAAAATGTGTTAATCTGGTGTTTTCCTATCAAAAGTACACAAAACAATCTAGTAGAGCAGCATTCTTAAGATTATATATTGTAAACTGTTTGAAATTTGTAAGATTCTTGAGATTTCACCAAGGCATATCTTGATCAAAAAGATACATGCATAATGAATGACTACTGAACATTTATGTTTCCACAAGTTTTTCTTTTCTAAGCAAGCTCGATATCCAAGAAATGGACTTTGAAATGTAGTTAAGCTACTCCCTGAATAGTTTCATCAGGTTGGTAAGCTTGGTAACAAACTTTGCCCTGAGAAAGGTGACAGACGGTCACCAAAACGTCGGCTTAATTAGGTTTAAACACTTTGTTGTGCACAAAGAACTTTGTTATGTAGTTATACTACTGTAAGGTATTAGGTTAATCTCTAAGCAGATGTTTACTGGAACATTTTCTGAGTGACTGCCAGGGTTTTTTGACAGACTGGATGTCTAACGTTCCGATCTTCCATGCTAAAAACATCTTTGTTTGTTTGTTTGGTATAACATGTAATTTAGTACTAGTGTAAACTGCCTTTAGGTGACCGTGTAACACACCCGTTTTATGCAGTAAAACTGGTACAAGCTGCATAAGACTGGACTGTATGTAAGGTCTGGTCCACTCACACTGGGATGGACCCCTGCTCTTTTTGAAAAGTGTTTTAGGAAATATTTTCCTCAAATTGTGGCCTCCATATTTATGTACGATCCAAGAAGACATCTCAGACCAAAGCTAGGCACTGACATTTCTACCTGAGCCGAGTGAGGAAATATGTGTAAAATACCTTTCCCAAGGACACAACCCTCGGCCTGCATGCCAAGGATTCAAACCCAGAACCTTTAGATTCTAAGTCAACAACTCTAACCACAAGACCACATTGTCATAAGGTTTTTATAGTCTGAACGGAAGGGAGCGTGCACGCCAAGAAATTACCCCACCCCATACTCACTGTTACTGTTTTGCATCTTAACAATTTTGTGGAGACAGTCTTACATTTTGGGTCAGTACTGAAATTTCTTGTTCTGACTTTGCAGGCATCAGTATGGTGGCGTCCTGATTGTTGCTGATGCTGATTTCCTGTCTTTAACACCATGGAAGCTGCCGCTAAGAAGTCTGTGGAGGCTACCAGGTCAACCGAGGTCAGTCTTTATGTATAATGATTACAGCCGTGGAATACATACATATATATAAATGATATGAAGTTCATCTGTGTTGGTAGTTACATGTTTAAAGTTAAAACTTTTGTTTTGTATGACATCCTCTTCTGTTAAATTTTCATTTGCCTGTAAGTTGAAACTCAAATTTGACGAATGAAAGAAAATTGACTCAATAAAAAGAGAATGCTGCACTTTGCAAAAGAGCCCCCTGGCACTTGGGAGAAAACTGCATCTAACTCATTTCTCAAGCAGGTGTGTGTGTATGTGTTGTAGTTACAACTTACAGTGTGTGCAATCAGTTGAGTGTGTGTTTGTGTGTCTGTGCATGTGTGCGTGCGTGCATGCGTGTGTGTGTTTATGTGTATATTTCTATGTGTGATTGTGTATTTCTTTGCAATCTGTTCAGAACTTAGAATAATCAACAAGGTATATTAAAAAGTTTTAAGATTATTCCATGTAATTACAATAGTGTTCAATCAACTCAGGGCTTATCTGTCACAAATGGCAACCCCCTCCCTACCCCAGCACATTTATAGTATGGATACAGACCTTGGAAGGACCTTCACCTTAATTTACTAATGATATATCTTCCATCAGTCTCACCTTGAAGTTTATACTGTCATATTACTACATGTATTAGCATAGTACGATTTTATACTGAATTATAGTTTGATTAGTACTAGTAATAAGATCCTTTGCCTAGCAAATCTTGCCATTTCAAAGATTTACTCATACATGCTGAAGACAAAATTATGCCTTGTCTTAATTTAACCCTTACTTTTCCCATTAGATACTACTAGTCACATGTTTTGTACCTTGAACATTATGCATAAGTGCTGTTAATAATCCCATCTTATGGGGTTTAGCAGTAGTAGAAGAAGCAGAAAAAGAAAAAATGGAAAAAAAACTTGCATGCTCAGCCCAGCCCTGTCTCCCTGTGCGGTTGGTCTGATATTACGCTCCATGTCCTGACATTTCATTGTGGCAATTTGGAAAGGTCAGACCCATCGCTGCCCCATTTCATCCAATCACGGCCAGGTACTTTATTAGACCGTACCCAGGGCTCCAAATATATGTATTGTAGGGCTCCAAATACATGTACTGCTGGGCTCCAAATACTTTTTCAGTGTTACTAGAGATACCCATCTGCAGTCTGCATTTTGCAGAGACAATTGTTCAATATTGCAGAAGAAAATTTAAGCAACCTGCAATTTTGCAGACTGAAAAAAATCAAAGAGCTTTTTTGTTTACTACCGAGTCTATAATATACATTTAAGTAATTTTGCACAAATTTTTCAAATATTAACATGCAATTTTGTATTTAGATTTACTGTACTTTTCTGTGCCATGTAATTATGTCATTTTAATGTAATAATTGTGTTTGACTTTGAGCCTTAGAAGACAGGTTTCGAAAATGAAATGAAATGATAGAATCTCAGTTGCCCTTCCCTTCTGTCCTTCACCCCACATTGTATATCTGTCTCTTTATTCACTGTTATGATAATGTTACAAGAAAAGAGAAGAGGCATATAAATTGTAGGGATAGATAAAACATAGCACAGTTTCATACTGGAATAACAGTTGTCCAATGATAGTAATGATAGGATCTACATGCCCTTTAGTTTCTCCTTCTGTCCCTCATTCCACATTGTTCCCTCTACCTGGCCCTTTATTCACTGTTATAAATATAATAATGTTACAAAAAGAGAGAAAGAAGCATATAAATTGTAGGGATGGATCAGAATTTCCTACTGGAATAACAGTTAATGTTGTCCAATGATAGTATTGATAGGATCTACATGCCCTTTAGTTTCTCCTTCTGTCCTTCAGCCCACGTTGTTCCCTCTACCTGTCCCTTTGTTCACTGTTATAAATATAATGATGTTACAAGAAGAGAGAAAGAAGCGTATAAATTGTAAGGATGGATCAAAATTTCATACTGGAAGAACAGTTAATTAATGTCCAATGATAATATTGATAGGATCTCCATGCCCTTTAGTTTCTCCCTCTGTCCTTCAGCCCACATTGTTCCCTCTACTTGTCCCTTTACTAACTGTTATAAATATGATATAATGTTACAAAAAGGGAGAAAGAAGCATATAAATTGTAGGGATGGATCAAAATTTCATACTGGAATAACAGTTAATGTTGTCCAATGATAGGATCTCCATGCCCTTTAGTTTCTCCTTCTGTCCTTCAGCCCACATTGTTCCCTCCCCCTGTCCTTTTTTATTCACTGTTATGAATATAATAATGTTACAAGAAGAGAGAAAGAAGCATATAAAGTGTAGGGATGGATCAAAATTTCATACTGGAATAACAGTTAATGTTGTCCAATGATGGTACTGATAGGATCTCTGTTGCCCTTTAGTTTCTCCCTCTGTCCTTCAGCCCACGTTGTTCCCTCCCCCTACCTGCCACCGTGTGACAGATGACCCAGCCCTGAGTAGAACTAATTACAGCGGCTTGTAACAAGCCTGGATGTTGTAAGTCAGCTGCGCATGTTTAATTCATCCCCCCTGGCTGCGCTGGCTGGGACGACTGCATGCGCTGAAATCAATGCAGCGGCCTCCGGTACTCCCATTGACGGTCCTCTGCGTTAGGGATGCGCCCCCGCTCGTCAGACTGAGCTGTCAATCATCCCGCGTCGTTGCCTCTCATTGATTCCTGAGTGGATTCCATCGCAGGGAGACCTTGGAATTTCTGCATACGGAATTTTCCCTGCGTGCGCGCGGAGTGTGGGAGTGGGATGAGTGATCGAGAAGGGGGCTGTGTCCTCCGACATTCATAGCTAACCAATAGTGAGGCTCAGACAGGGAGAGAAGGAAAGAAAAAAACCCTCCCTGCTTTGTCTGAAAGTCTAGTACTAGCACGCCATAGTGGAACAGCCATCCGGGTGGCAAGCTGTGAACGGGTGTGATTTGTGTTTGTCGGAGAAATTATAGCAGCCTGTCGGGAATTGTGCGGCAGTCGAATCCCCGCGTGTGCGAGCGTGCAGCGTTGCTGAACAGATGCTGTGGGAGAACAGCTTGCGCTGCTGGGAAGGAGCCGGCCGTGTCCTCATCGGGTGAAGTATCGGCCCAAGATTACTGCGTGTATTGGCTGGAGAATACGTTGTACGTACGCCTGCCTGTGTGTCTAGCTCTGCTGCCATTCACGTCCTATGTCACTGTGATGGGGGAGGATCGGTGTGTGTCAACGCGGGTTTGCTCTTAAGAAGAACAGCTGGGATCGTTCCGTCCGCATTTTCGTGTGCGGAGTTTTCTATAAACCCATGACGATGAAGCGCGTGTGTTTCCGTAGCCAGGACGAGGTGATTCTCCTGCCGTCCGTGCCCAGTGTAGACGAGACGGGGAACCATCCACGGCCGCCCAGGAAGCCCTTAGTCAGGCAGAATGCCGTTTGTGCGGTAGGTGAGAGATTATTTTCTCCTCGTGATGTGTTTTATACATTTAATATTCCAGTTCATTGATTTCATACTTCTATATATCATATTTTATAACTGTCAATCTTGTCTGAATCTGAATTGTTTAAGGACATTAACATTTAGACTATCATTGATAGACTATCAACATACAGTTGTACATGATTTTGATATTTTTGACATATTCTTAGATTTCTATTTAGGAAAATATCAGGGGCCTGGTTCCACTACTGTTAACCTTGTCTGAATTGTTTAAGGATATTAACATACTTGTTTTTTTAGACTATCATTGGGAAACTATCAACAAGAAATATGTGATTTGATATTTTAACAATAATATTCTCAAATTTCTATTTACAAGAATATGATGGGCCCTAAGCTGTTAACCATGTCTGAATTTTATTACTATAAAGTAACATTAATATATTCATTGTTTAGACTATTGTCGATAGACCATCAACATATTGGATTTGATATTTTGGTAAAGTCTCAGGTTTCTATTTACGAGATTATTGGGGATCTATAGAAGCAATCAATTATTTATGAACTTGAGGTTTTTCAGGTCTACTGGTCATGAACAACACCTTTATTCATAGTCCAGAACAGTTTTACAGTAACAGCTTTAGAAGAAATGTTTAGGATATATGTTGTCTGACATGCTGTATTCATGATACAAAAAATACATGATAACTGTACTTTCTAATTATGTCTAGAAACTGTTTTTCACTTGGAATATGAAATATTTAGTTGGGGATAATCATAATTGCTGTCTGTTATATCAAGCAGGGATTTACAGCCTCGAGTCATGTGAGGATAAAGCACCAGGGGGCGGTACATTAAGTCTAGGGACAGTACAGTTAATAACCTGGCAGGGCTTGAAATACTAAATTATCATGAAGGCATACCCACACATTGAAAATTACCTTCCTCAGAGAAATTTTACCTGCACCACTCAGAATTTGTGAAGTGTGGATCATACTAAAACTGTTAAGAAACCACTGCAATTGTTTCTTTTTTTTTACTTCATAGGTTTTAACAGTCGTAGACATAGACCAGTTCAGGTTAAAAGCTGGCAGACATCAGAAATACATGTATCGGCATAGCTCCAAGTTAACCTGCACTAACCTGCATTCGCATTGTAGAATGCAGGTAGGATTTTGAGCCCTGAACAACAATACATTTTTATGATTTCCACTAGACTAGTTTTAGGGTATAGAAGTGAGAAATCCCTTCCCGAGCCTCAACATTTTATTACGTTGTGGTTACCGGTAATAGAAATTATATTGGTGCAGTAAAAGTCGTAATTTGCGGCTTGTGAGCGAAGTTGTAACGCAAACTTGTTCAATTATTGATTTATTTATTGGCAATATTTCCCCAGGCTGTCTAGTTGTCTGGGCTGTTTGGCCTCTCTGTCAATTGGCTGTCAGGGAAAAATGTCAAAGGTTTGGATATTTAGGAGTAAGCAAATTTAGTTTTTCAGTTCAAATTTACATGAATATTATCATCACTGTCAACAAATCATACTTACATGATTGTAAGACATTAGCAAGATTGGTTT